TAAAAATAAACTGGTGAACCAGAAGACAGGTCAGAAGAAGTCATCCAGAATGATGCACAAAGAGACAAAAAAAGGAAAAATACACGTGGGAGGTTAAGGGGTATGGAGGATAGGGTGAGATGGGTAACATACGTCTAGTTAGGGACCAGAAGGAGAGGAGTGGAGAGACGACACAGGGAATGGACAATATTCAAAGAGTTACAAAATGGGAATCTTCCAGTGCAAAATCTATAAAGCTCCATGAAGCCTAAGCAGAGGTAACCACGCTGAGAAACAAGAGCAAAGCTGCAGACCACCAAAGCCGATGATGAGATCCTAAAAGTCACTGTAGAGAAATAACAGATTCCTTCCGAGAACAATACTCTGGACCTCTCAACAGCCACAGTGAAAGTCAGGAGGCGATATGTTGAAAGAAAATAACTGCCAACCTCGAAGTCTGTGCCCAGCAAAATAACGATGTATTCAGACAAGCAAAGTCAGTTTGCCTCCAGACACAAGGCATGGTAAGGAGGAACAAAGGAAAATGAGGATTAATATACGTGAACATTATATAAGATAATAAGGTCTTATGAGTTGGGGCACCTGGGGGGCTCTGTGGTCGAGCATCTGCTTCTGCTCAAGTTGTGACCTCGGGGTCCTGGGATCGAGTCCTGCATGGGGCTCCCCCTGTACAGAGCCTGCTTCTCCCTCTGCCTGTGTCTCTGCCGCTCTCTGTGTCTCTCATGAATAGATAAGTAAAATCTTAAAAAAAAAAAGGTCTTATGAGGTTAATAAAAAATGTAATTAAAATATATGTTAAGAATGACATGTTAACATATGTAAGGAGAGGGAAATGAAGCTAAAATTCCCTAAAGTCCTTCCATAGTCTGCAAGAAGGACAACAACATAAACTTTAGAATCTGATACCTAATATGTGAATATTGTAATTTCTACAGTAATCCATAAAAGAACAGAAACAGACTGGAACATCCAAATAGAAGTGGGAAAATGGGATGATGAAAAAATGATTCAAGAAAGGGAAAAAGAGAGAGAGAGAGATACAGGACTGGCAATATGAAGAGAAGGCACAAAATAAAATGATAGATGTAAAACTAAGATACTTTTTTTTATATATAAAGATTTTATTAGAGACACAGGCAGAGGCAGAAGCAGGCTCCCTGCGGGGAGCCTGATGCGGAACTCGATCCCGGGACCCAGGGTCATGCCCTGGACCGAGCGCAGACGCTCAACCGCTGAACCCCCAGGTGTCCCTGTAAAGGGAAATTTAAAGCCTAAAGATACCAGATCGAGTCTCTCCTGGGAAGGCAACATAATCCACCTCATTAACAGATTAGAGGCGGAGAATACTGTGACGTCAGTAGAAGCGTTTGATGAAACCGAAGCAGCCATAAGGGATCTGGAAGCAAACAAACGAAGTCTAACAAACAAAAGAAAACAACTCAAACAAAAGTCCTCCCAAACCTCACGAAGGGTGTCTGCGAAAATCTACGGTGAATAGAAGACCTAATGGTACAATGTTGGGAGCTCTCCTCTGAGGTTAGAAGCGCAAACAGCACGTCCTGGCACCGCCTCTACTGGAGTTGGGCTGCGCGGCCCTCGCAGCGGGGCAGCGGCGGGTCCTGTCCCGGGAAGGGCGAGCCGGGCAGGAGCAGGCCCCGACGTACTCCGGGAGGCGGGGTAGCGCCCGCGGAGACACCGCCTGGAAGTAAAGCCAATTTGGAAATAAGCGAATTTAGCCAAGTTGCAGCGAAGTCAACATACAGAATTGCATTGTACTTTCTACACCAGCAAAAAAAAAAAAAAGGCTAGAAAACGTAAATGTTTAATTTTTTTGTGGATTCTTTACAAATCCTCATCTACAAGAATCCCCAAGTCCCTAAGGCGTAAACACAACAAAAGACGGGCCACTTTCCTGTGCGGCTGTCACACGTCCCGTGTCTGGGGACGGCAGCAGGAGGGTCATTCTCTGGCGGCTCTCCCGCGGGGGCCGGCGCTGGACTCGATCCCGGGACTCGATCCCGGGACCCGGGTCACGGCCTGGGCCGAGGGCGGCCTCCCCACCGCTGACCCCCGGGCCCGAGTGTGTGACCCATGTGTGTGCGCGTGTATTTACGTGGACTGTACTCTCGACCAGCCGTCCGAGGCGTCGGTGGCCACGCGTGCGCCCCCCGCACATCCACACATTCCTGGGACTCGCCTGCGGGCGCCCCCCGACACCGCCCCCACGGCCTTGGGGGGTCTCTACCAGGCGGACAGTGACGGGGGCAGAGGCGCGGGCCTCACGCACGGCGACCCTTGTGCAACGGGAAGAGCAGGCCGGGCTCCAGCAGGGCCCCGCAAGCAGAGCCGCATCCCTCGGCGCCTCCCTGGAGACTCAAGTGTGGACACAGGGCGCGGAGAGACGCCGGGGGACCAAGGGCTGCAGCAGGTCCCCCCCTTCGGGGCCCTCGTCCAGGGACAGCCACTTGCACAGTTTTGGAAAAGGGAAGTAGAAGCAGGTGCTGTCCAGCGGCTCGCTGGGGCTGCTCAGGGCTCGGGCGTCCGGCCGGCAGGCACCCACGCGGGCTCGGGGCCTCCCCCGCCTTCCCCGGCCGCCTGCTGGCTGCCCAGGCCCAATTCCCCACGTTAAGTCCTTTCTTACTAAAACGCCAGTCGGGATTTATGGTTTCTTGACCAAACTCTAACTCACCAGGGACAAGCACTGAAGGAAAAAATAAATAAAAATACTATTTAGAGCGTAACTTAAGGTCAGTAAGTATTTTATTAAGTAACTACTATGGCAAAGCCACTGGGCGAAGGCAACGAGAAGTATCATTTAAGCGGCGCCCATCGTCCCCGGGGCCTTCTCATCACACAGACCTCATGGACCCAGGACGCTGGGCGACGCAAGGGAAGGACGGAAAAGCAAGAACTGACTGTTACAGGTAGTGAAGGGCTGTCCATTTAAATAGTGATCCAGGTTCTGAGGCATCCTATTTGGGTATGAGCCAAGCCAGGACAGATTCTTTATTTTAAAAAATAACGTAAGGGGCACTGGGCTGGCTTAGTCGGGGGAGCATGTGACTCTTGACCTTGGGGTCATGAGTCTGAGCTCCACATGGGGTGTAGAGATTATTTAAAAGATCTTTAAAAATAAATAAAATAATATAAAGAACTTAAAAATCAGCCTTATCCTTTTTTTTTTTTTTTAAGATTTTATTTATTGATTCATGAGAGACACAGAGAGAGGCAGAGACACTGGCAGAGGGAGAAGCAGGCTCCCTGCGGGGAGCCGGATGCAGGGACCGGGGTCACGCCCTGGGCTGAAGGCAGGCGCTCCACCCCACCGCTGAGGCCCCCCGCTGAGCCCCGCCCCGGGCGTCCCTTATCCGCCTTATCTTCTGATAGGACGTCAATAGTCTCGGAGCTGCCCTTCCTTAGTCTCAGCATACTGAGCGCAGAGGAACTGAGGACCATTAGCGTGGAGACGTCACCCTCCGGGAAGGCCAACTTGAGGACCAACGTGTCTACAGGCCGCTGGCCTTGGTCTGCTCTGGGCAACTCCAGACTCTGTCCCCTGCACTCCTGGAACCAGGCGTTTGCAAACCAATTTACATAAATAAGTCTCTGCTGAGAAAACAACTCAAAGCACTTAAGTTATTAATGTGTCAGTAAAGTCAATTCTGCATTCGGAGGCCAGAGAATTTTGCCACTTTCACTTAAAACATCAAAAAACCCAAAACAATAATGAAAAACACAAAACCCTACATGTAAGATGTTTTAAAATTAATTTGTTTCTTTGAGACAAAGAAATACTTTGAACTTTAGTAACGATACATGGGTCCAAGTTAATACCCAAGAACGTAAGATAAAAATCTTGCAAGGATTCCCCAGCCCTAGGTTTCTGCATAGCAGCAGCAAACGTAAATTCAGTATTGGGTTTACATTTCATTCAAAGGGGAAATACAAAATTAGGAAAGCAAGAGATAAAAGTCAAAGCAAATATACTCAATACTCCCAAACAACTCTACGGTACAAAGTAAATAGGGGCGAAGGGAGCCCCCATGAATCCAATTGGCGGTCTGCGTTCAAGTCTACCAGAAACGTGAATTTCCTGCTATTTCCCCTGCCTGGGAACCACAAGCTGTCGCCGTCCCGGTCTCCGGCCCGTTAGGGACACTGCCTGAAGACAAGGCTTTCTTATGAGTCCATCCATGACTGACGGTGCTATCAGTGAGGGCAACGTGAGGGCAAGAGTGTCACCTGAAAGGGGCCGTTGGCAGAAACAAACCGTAGGGACCCCGGGACACGTGGTTTTTTGCGGCCTGGATGTTGTAGGACAACCTATTAATTAATGGACATCGACCCTTGAGTCTCACAAATCAAGAACGTATTAGCTAAGGACCACGGGGTCATTTGCCCTGCAGGTGTAATCAATCTAGAATCCTCAATGAGCACCCACATTACAGGTTTTGGGGATCCTGGCAATTCTCCTTCTAAGACCTCACTGTATTTAGGAACACATAAAGCTGAGTGATGGAGGCAAAAATGAACTCCTCAAGACCTCCAGGGTATGTGACAGCTGTGAGCTCCAGCATACACCTTCTTAGGCTCTGGTTTTTAAACTGCTGGATGCTTCTCAATCACTCAGTATACAGCAGAAATTAAAAGCATATGAACACATGGCAACAGCTTTCATCCTAATAGGTACAAACCGTCTTTTGAGTCTTTTTTTTTTAATTTTTTTTTATTTATTTATGATAGCCACACAGAGAGAGAGAGAGAGAGAGAGAGAGAGAGAGAGAGAGAGAGAGGCAGAGACACAGGCAGAGGGAGAAGCAGGCTCCATGCACCGGGAGCCCGATGTGGGATTTGATCCCGGGTCTCCAGGATCGCGCCCTGGGCCAAAGGCAGGCGCCAAACCGCTGTGCCGCCACCCAGGGATCCCCGTCTTTTGAGTCTTATACAGAGGTAGACAGATAAGTGAATGGAAGGAAACAACTCTAATTCCATCCAAAAAGTATTTCTCTAATGGTGACAAGCTCCAATTTTTATTCATTTTATTCTCAACTGCACATCCATACTTCACTTTCAAAAATCTCTTGAAATATGAAAGGGAAAACATGGCTACATAACAGCATTAGGAGAAACGTGTAAGACAAAACATGTATGTGAAACCTTGGAATTTGAACCAATGAATCATGTTAATATGAAGTGCAAAAACATGGCCTTTCAATCTGGAAAATAATCTCTTGTACAAATGCTAACCAAAAAGAGAATAATAAGTTTATCTTAATACCCACATACTTCCAGGGAAGGGAATCAGCTGGTTAATTAGCCTGTAACCTGGCAACCTGTCCATATATTATTACAAGATTAGTGTATTGCTCCAGGATGTTTAAGCTAATAAAGTTCCTACATCATTTTTTAAAATGAAGGAGAACTATTTACTTTCAGATTAACAAGAAAAACCTCACCCTTACACTTCGTTTTCCTCACACAAAAAAAAGTTAAAGAATTTTTTTCTTAAATGTTACTCCAATGAAAAACTGGCCTCTAAATTTCTAGGGAAATCATTTCTTGGCCTTTAGTAAGTACTCAGTAAATACTTACGGCCAATTAAGGAGAATTTAAAGATAACAGTTTAATAAAAGTAAAGCCGGATTTTATGCCAAAATGCAGCTCGTAGAAAAAATGATCCGTGCTGTGTGGCAGCCCCAGGCTTTGCTGCAGAGCAACACAGAGACAGAGATGAGAGGCTGGGCTCAGTTCAACGGGAATTGGCAAAACAGCACAGCTATTCATTCAAACCACCCGGGCATAACTCTGTCCCCGCAGAACACAGTGCGCGCTGTAAGCACCAGGGATGGAGACTTTTGCTTGCTGTTTGTGAAAGGATCCTGTAAAAGGAATCTTTGTTCTGCAATTAAAAGATTGCCAGATACTACAGAAACTTTAGATTCAGGGTACATGCTGCCTTGCCACTTAGCCACCTTAAATATCCTTCTTTTGCAACTATTAATTCACTTGCGCAAAGTTGCTGATCACTGTCTACACTAGAAGCTTGCTAGAAACAACATATTTTCCCAAAAAAAATTGCAAAAGACTTGAGAAGCCATAACATCTATGGAGTATGACATCAGAAAAGAGTAGAGCCTTTGTTTCATCTGGTGATCGTTTCTGAAACAACTGGTAAGTTGGAGTGCGGCCATGGAGCTTTGGATTCTATTTATGCAATCATCTCTTCTTTCAAAAAGCAACAGTAATGAATTAACTTCTAGCGTCAGAAAAGTTGACTAACAACTAAACACTGGCTACATTCCTAGTGCAATACAATCCTTAACACATCCACAAACAGGTATACACTTCAAATATTGGCAAATTGCTTCAGAATGCAATTCTCAGTAAGTTTTGGTAATTTATTCACAGTTCAAGGTTAGAGTTGTTGGACTTACAAGACGTAAGGAAGAAATGACCAAATGCCTCAGTAAACTAAATATTTATCTTAAAGAACAGGAAACTGAAACAAAGCAAGATTCTAAAATCTCGAACTCACAAGCAGGGTAATTTAAACAAATTCCAAAAGCTTTATTTGAGCAAAAGCAAAAAACAAAAGACAGAAAAAAACAACCAACCAAAAAGTCAACCACAGAACATTTAAAAAGCTAACAGGATCACTTCTATATTCATTCTGAGTACCTTAAGAAAGTTAATTCAAGAATTTCCTAAAACGTTCGCATTAGCCAATATTATGGCAGATTCCGTAACATTGATATCAAGCTATCACAGACTTACAGGTTAATACAGCGTCACTTTACAATCTTGCTGGTCAACTACGATTTTCATTTTAACCCTGGAAGCTCTTGGTTCAAAGTGAATGTTAAGCAGTCCTACTGGTTGTCATGCCATAGATCTGAAGATATGGTTAAGCTCATCAAGCTGGAGAAATACTGATATATTAATAATCCTTAAATATTGTGAGAACAAGCTGATGTGTTAATTCTCCTAAACTTAGGATTCTAACACGAAGAACAAGGGAAGTCATCTGAAGCATGTTTCGTCAAGACATATCTGGTAGTCTGGGAGACAAAACCCACTAAATCTGTGGACAGAAGGCTCAGATACCTTCCTCTGTCAGCCCTTCCACTTCTTTGGCCTTCACAAATTCCATGTGAGCTATGCTTTCTTCTTCTACAAACACTTTTCCAAGGACATTGTGCTTTTTTAGAAAAATCACTTAACTTGTCACATAGGATAGTTAACATCAGTCTTTCCCTTTTATTGCTGTAATAGATCCTAATTTTTTAAACAGATAAAACACTGACTCCAAAGGACTTCCTAAAATATGTTTGTTAAAGCCGACATTTCAGCTGGTCTTCCTTCTTTGACGACAATATAAGTTAAGTGCCAAATAAACACTACTAAGGAGCTAAAAGAAAGGGGGGGGCTCCTTTTCCTTCTTCTCATCCTCATGATTAGCTCAGGCCAAGAGAGCTGTATTCAGAAGGATAAGACAGTATCATCTTGGAAACAACCGCCAGCCCCACCGGCACGCCGCGTGTCCGCTCCCCACGCAGGACCAGGGCTCGTTGATCACTCGTGCACCTCGCCTTCGCCCTTCCTTAGCACACCCGGAAACACGGTCTCCGCAGCCCGCAGCAACAGCTCGCTCTACAAAATGCACTTTGTAGCTCCTGTGAACATGATGCACCCCTGAACGCGGAGCATTCCTTAACACCCAGCTCGCCTCCATTCTACGCCCTCACCCTGGGCCTTGCCAGGTCCTTGTCTTCACCAGAGAGAGGTCGGCCTCGGGACAAGCAGACGTTGCTTTCAACAAGATGTCCTTTCCGGTTCCGGGCACAGGGACTTGCCCATAAGAGGATGCTGACACAATGACAGCACACTAAAAACGGCTCATGTTAATTTATCTCTTCTCCTTCGCTCCTACAGCACAGGTAATTTAAAAAAAAAAAAAAAAGACAGAAAAGCGGACTGACTGCAAAGTAACCATCATCTACGGGGCCATGTGTGAGCTGCTACACATGACCCCAGCCTGAAAGGGCTCGTGGCGGAGGTCAGGAACGCTAAGTCACATATGAGTGAATCTAAACTTTAAATGTACTACAAGAAAGAACTTTTCATATAAAGGACTCCTTTTGTAGCATATCCTTCTTGAAAAATCAGATTTTTCTTATCCTGTTTCACATTGGTTTTAACTGGGCGGCAGGCACACTCATTAGTGATATGCCTCATTACACTACCTTTTCTGCATTCATAATTAATACATAAAAGCATTTAAAAATCACTACATTAAATAAAGTAAGAAGCAAGAAGGGACAAGAAGGAGAAACTGTTCATTTGGAAAATATCACTTCTTGGTTCTTTAGTATCAGCTTTTGAAATCCAGTTCAGAACGTATCCTAGCTTGAAATGTGCGTCTGTGTGTGAAAGACAGACATAGAGGAAGAGGAAAAATAGAGAAATTGAAAACTAATGATTGATCTCAAATATTTGCTCACTTAGAATGCTGACCCAAACTTCAGACCGTTAAGAAACCCTATAAACCCATACAAATCACAGACACAAAATGCCAATTTAACAAACATAAAAAATGACACTCTACACATACTAAAACTAGCAGGCCTAAACAAAATAATCTCAGAAACAATTAAAATAGGTAAATACAGCTATCGTAGCTATGTATATGATGTAAATAATAATCTTACCTTATTTTTAAAAACAATCAGGTTTCTAGTCTCTGTCTAGGACAGTCCTTCCAAACTACCTCAAAATATGCAAGGTATTTTTCTAGACCTAATACACAAGCAGAATCTGGGCTCCCCTTGTAGCAACAGCCATTAGAAAATCTTAACCTCACCAAGAAATTCAAACACAGAAAAAAGAAAAAGCCTGAATTTACTTAAATAATTATGCTAAATATCTTACCTTCACAATTTAAAAGTGAGAACTTTAGAAAGACTTCACCAAGACACAACACACTGCCCTATAGCCCCCAAGATTTGGCCAAAAAGCCCCATAAAAAAATGATTACTCACAACACGTTGGGTGTCTAATATTCTACTCTATTTTAATCTAAGTTGTTAATTTCCATTTCTGACGTAAGCCAGCTGAAGGCACCTTGATATCACTTTATTTTTATCTTCTTCATTCCTAAATATATTTCAGGGTAGAACACAGACAACAGAGAACACCTAGGAAGTAATACTATGTTTGATGCAATCCTTCACTAGCATCAGGGTAAAGCACGGCTTTCTCTAACCTAGCCCAGCATATACACTTATAGTCAAACGATTAGTCAAAAGACTTGCAAACCTTCCAAACTACAAAGAACTTCCAACCGGCACGATGGTACTAGTTTTATGCAACAAGGCAGTAAAAAGTTAAAATTCACTACAGGAAATTCACTACAGGAGATTTTGGCATATACCAGTACTGATTTACTCTCAGACATCTGATAGCAACTTTGTGTGGTGATTTCGAAGAACAAGTCATTTTAAGAAAAAAAACATGAAAAATAAAAACGATAGACGCAAGGAAATAAACAGTTTTAGAAGATGAAAAAACTAGGAGTAGGACACCCCACCTGGAGGTCCCCCATCTTCACAAGGAAAATCATGTGGTCAGTCGTCCAAAGCAGCTCAAATTTAAAGTTTGTGCTACGAAATTGTGCAAATATTTGCTGTTAAGAATGGAGAAAACCAATGTACTACCATATTCTAGCTTCCTACGTTAACTCGACCTCCAGATAACCAGCAACAGGTCTGAGACACTCGGGTTAACCTAACTTACATAGAAATCCCACCACGAAAAGCTTTCAGTTTTTAAGTTCTACAGTGTGATTTTAAAAACAAACACAAACAAATTTCAAAACAAATCATAGCATCTTCTAGTTATATGTAAATTTAACAAAACCTTAATTAAATGTCCAAGCATTAGCATACATTGCCACTGGCTTTAGATATTCCAATTAAATGTACTAGATTTTCTTTGGGCTGAAAGAATAGAAACATGGTAAAACAAAGGCCAATTATTCTAAAAACATATAATCCTCCCAGATTGAAGTGGAGGGCCTGGAAATCCAACACCCAGCATCCTTTAAAGAAAATGAGAGTTAAATCTCTTGGTGACAATGATTCCAATATAAATTCCATTATTTAAACTCCCCCACAAATTACTGAAAAAATATGAGGTAATTTCACAAAAATCACAAATTGAGTGGAATAATTATAACCGATATATAAATAAGGATTTACTAAAAAAGGCTTCAAAGGGTGATATTTTAAATCAAGGTGTTAAATACAAAAGGTGTCTTGTGTTGCTCAATCGCCCAGAGTTGCAGATGCTCCTTATTCTACAGTTACAGATTTGGCAAGATTCCGGGGAAAATCAACCTGCAAAAGAAGCAACATTTGAAAGATTATATACATTGCAGGGAGAGGTGGGGGTTCTCTAAGCAAATTATTTTTGTGTATAAAACCAGAAAACAACATGTTCATCAACCACCTTAATTACAGACTACAAAGAACTAAAATTAGAAAATGATGCTGAACAATGTATCTCAAAAATCCTGACACGAGGAAAAGAATTCCCCAGGAGCCAGTTCAGCGCAGGAAGTGCTTCTGTGGTCCTCCATGACAGGGCAGCTTACTCAGAGGACACTAGAAGCGGGTAAGACCAAGAGGTCTGGCTGTCCTAACGACCAGGAGACTGGGAACCCTAGGAGACTCCCCGCGGGTAACCGCATCACAGGGGCAGGCCCCACGGTGCCTGCAGGTTCTGTGGGTAGGAAAAAGTGAGGACGTAACCTACGAATTGGGCCATGCAAACGTAACAGGTGACAGATACGTATCTGAAGGATTTCTCAAATGCTACTGCTAAAAATCTAGAAGGAAAACTAAGAGTATCAAAGCAGGTAAAAAGCCGGCCCAAGATTTCTACAGGAGCCCATCACTTACGTCATAGCCCCTCAGCACAGCCAGGTGGAAAGCCAGCAACTGTAAGGGGATCACACTGAGAATGCCCTGCAAGCAGTCCACTGAGTGGGGCACCTTGATTGTTCTGTTTGTGTTCTTAATGGTCTCGGTATCTTCCTTATCACAAATCACCACTGGGCGTCCCTGGGAAAGACACACACACATTCAGCGGCAAGCAAAGGTAGAGCAGTTGCACACGAATGTGCAAAGCCCACACTGCACATCTGCACGCGGCCTCACAGGCTCAATCCCATGTGTAACTCAGATTGATTTCACTTGTAGCCAAGAAGCAGAAACTTTGCAGGATTCAGTCATTTGTTTAAACTCACACAACTGAGAAATACCAAGCTCAGTGCTTGAATCCAAGTCAGCCTGCCTTCAAAGCTCAGCTTCGTAACCACCATTGAGCCCACACGGTAATACCTTCGGGGCTTTATGTAAGTAAGAGCCAGATGATCTGAAGAAAACTCAGGTAAGCACAGCACCTGAGTAGTATTAATGTAAACCCTAGTTTCTCCTGAAATACACTTTTAAGTATACTAACTTAAAAGGGAGCAGCATACACTAATAGAGAGGACAGGACCTGGAGAGTAGGACCTCAGTTCTGGTCTTGGTTCTGCTTATTACGAGATCTTTGAGCTGGGTCCTGTCAAAATTCTTCACACCTAAACTCCACATGTTCTGTGAGCCTCCTACTGGGCCCTGGTCTATCAGTTTAAATGTCATAAAATTCAAATAAGCTATAGTAACCCAACTCTTAGACAACCCCAGGGACCGTCCCAGCACAGCCTCTAACGTACCTGCCTGGCCACCACCTGCTGAAGAGCATTCTGACACTTGGCATACGTGTGATCTCTCATGATGATCATGATGACAGGCATCAACTTATCCACCAAAGCCAGAGGGCCATGTTTCAATTCACCAGCAAGGATGCCTTCAGAGTGCATGTAAGTGATTTCTTTGATTTTCTAACAGGAAAGAGCTACATTAGTCTTCAGTTTGTTTTTCAAAAACCCATTCTTAAGTAAATATTACACAAAACATCTGCTGTCTGAAGTCACTACTTATCCACAGTATAAAAGGACCTACACTGGTGTGTAAATATAGGTTAATAGTTATTTATAAACTACCAACAAGTAATGGAAGTTTGAGTGTCTATATAGTAAATAACTACAAGTTTTACAACCACAAAAACTTTTTTGAAAATTTTAGATGATCATGAATATATTCACATTACTTTGTAACTGTTCTATCACTTGCCTCATGTTTACCTCAATTAAATCTCACACCTAGAGAACTTAATCTTTTATTTACTCCTATTTGGACAACAAATTAACTCAAGTAACTTGCTAAACCTAAATCCAAATCACAGTGGTGAAATGTACTTTTCTTGATACTCACTTTTCAATTACGTATTGTTACCCTTTTTCCAGATAAGTAATCAGAGTGCATTTTTTACAAAGGCATTTTCAAAAGTCCCACCTATTTCATTCAGTCTAAAAGTAGGACTACGTGCAGGTCCTCAAGTCCAAGATGAAATTAGAAGCGAGACGACTTACTAGGGCCCCTTCAAGGCAAGTGGCATAATGATAGCCACGCCCCATGATCAACACTGACTTCTGATGGTACAGTTCTGTTGCCAGTTTCTGAATTTCATCATCCATGCTCAGTACTTCCTTAATCAAATCTGTTAAGAAGTAATATTAACAAAGTCTATGAGAAAAGGACAACTAACTGACCCAGTATCATAACAATAATACACTGGCAGCAACCAACAAAAAGACCAGGGTTTCTATTCTATTCTGTGACACCAGCAAGGGATTTCTAAATACACGGGTTCAAAAGAAGAAAGATCTTTGGGACTAAATAGCTACAAGCCACAGCTTCAGGGATAAGAGACCTCACTCATTAGCCCCCGCTCAGACAACAAAAGTCGACGGTGTGAGCTCTTCCTACCGGGCAGCCGCTTCAGTCCAAGCATGATCTCTTTGCGTCTCTCTTGCATGGAGATCCTGTCATCACACATCATGAGGGCAAACATGACAAGGGAAACAAACTGGCTGGTATAAGCCTGCAACACCACAGAAAGGCAGAATTAGCTGCAAGTGCATTTTAAGAACTTGGAATTTTTAATTTATAAAAAGAGGAAAACAAAGAATTCCCTCCCACTGGTTTTATAAATATATATTGCTCCCCCCCCCCTTTTTTTTTAAAAGACAGCATTAGTAAAAGCAAACTGAATCAGTAGTTGGGAAATCTATCACTATGCTCCATTTCTGAATTTGAACAAATGACTTAATCTTTTTCCAAATACAAAAGTTCCTTATAATGCACTGGATGCTTACCAAATCCCCAATGTCTTCAAGAAAGGAGCGGAAACATGCCAGAGGAAGGTGAGCAGAGTGTAAATCTGCACATACATAACCAAATTAGGTTTTTTATATAAGCCAAAGCACTGGAAGGATTTTCCCTGAGGTACCTGCACTGATTTTGTTGGTTTTTTTTTTTTTTAAACTGATCTTTTTTTTTTAACTATTGCTTATTGTTTTTCCTCATTTCCATCTTTGTTTTTTTTTTTTTTCCAGTTTGGCTTGAAAAAATTTTAATCTCAATTGTAGCAAAGTGGGTAGAAATAAGAATAATCATCATTCTTAAGAATAATTACATTTTAATAACATGGTATTAATAACATTTCTGTACTAAGCCTTTTTAAGTAGGTTCCACAGCCAGCATGGAGCCCAATGCAGGGCTTGAACTCATGACCCTGAGATCAAGACTGAGCTGAGACCAAGAGTCAGCTGCTTAACTGACTGAGCCTCTTAAGTGCCCCTGTACTAAGTCTTTTTAATAGTAGTTCTGATATCTTTTTAATTCACCAGCCATCTAAAGAAACTAAATTTTATGATTTAAACATTTGAGTTTCTTTTTTTTTAATATATTTTTTAAAATTTTTATTTATTTATGATAGTCACACAGAGAGAGAGAGAGAGAGGTAGAGACATAGGCAGAGGGAGAAGCAGGCTCCATGCACCAGGAGCCCGATGTGGGGCTCGATCCTGGGTCTCCAGGATCGCAGCCTGGGCCAAAGGCAGGCGCTAAACCTCTGCGCCACCCAGGGATCCCACATTTGAGTTTCTTATTTATATTTTTATTAAATCACTAGGACTACTGTAGTGTGGCCAGCTACAGAGTTATGTGCAATTTTAACAGTAAGAAGTTTATTCCTGGGACACCTGAGTGGCTCAGCAGTTGGGCCTTTGGCTCAGGTTATGATCCCAGAGTCCTGGAATCGAGTCCCACGTCAGGCTCCCTGCATGGAGCCTGCTTCTCCCTCTGCCTGTGTCTCCGCCTCTCTGTGTCTCTCATGAATAAATAAATCTTAAAAAAAAAAAAGTTTATTCTTGGTTTTTTTGTAGATTATAGGCTGAATTTCTATCAGCCTTCTCTGGATAAGGAAATCACTTCATTAGTGAATATTTTCCTGTCATAACGTGGATAATGAGCCTCCTGTATAATGAAATCACAATCTGCTAATGCTCCTTACTGTCCCAATAGTTAAACGAGACTCCCTACTTCTTCTTGCTGAACCTCCCAACTAGTTGCTGCTTACATGTCCCCCACAGCTACCTGCGTGACCCGTCTTTGTGTTACGACGTGTTCCCCTAGCAGGCTGGGGTTTTCTCCCCCAAAGCACTGACACGGACTTGCAGTCCCTTGGCTTCAGGCTAACAAGCACACCTGTATTCTAAATTCCAGTCCCTTCTAATCTACCTTTTCCTACTGACATTTACTCTTCAATAAACCAATTCATCACAAAACATTTGATCAGGAAAAGGGGAGAGACCCAATATCTAGGACCCCTGGGATACCTACACTATTTCCAATTCTTTGTGTTTCCTTTTGTTTGTTTAAGATTTTATTCATTTATTTGACAGAAAGTGAGAGAGAGCAAGAGAGAACACAAGCGGGGGGCAGGAGGAGGGCAGGCAGAGAGAGAGAAAGAGAGAGGGAGAACCAGGTTCCCTGCTGAGCAGGGAGCCCAGATGCAGGGCTCGCCCAGGACCGCGGGATCATGACTGAGCCAAAGGTAGATGCTCAACCAACATCTTGAAGGGCCCCAGGCGCCCCTTCTTTCCAATTCACACTAATCCAATGAGTTCTAGTTCCTCCAGCCCATGACTAAAAATGTTACTCTACAGAGTAATGTTTCCTTATTTGGACTTAAGACATCTCAACCTTGGTTTTTAAGTATGAATATTAAAATAAAATAGATTTAATGCACACATTTTTCTATTGCATTCCCATTACAGCTTAATTTCCAATTTCATGTTTTTCATTTCATCAATATACACCAGAAAACCAATTATAAGAAAAGTAAGGTACACCTCACACTTAGAATTTACTGAGGTTTTAAAGAATTCACCAGGAAAATGTTGATTCTGAACTTTTAAACTTGTTTTACTTTATATTCTGCCAAAAAGTTATATTGGTTTATTTTTAAAAATCAACAAAAGTCAGTACTGTGGTTAAATTTTAAACACCTGCAATAACATACAAAAACTGCTAAATCTGCACATTTATGTCCATCAATTCCTACAGAAATATCAAATTGTCTATGGTCTGATATTAGGAGAAACTTAGTCATCTCTCTCTCTCTAATCCTAACAGTTTTTCAGGCAAAGTTGGGGATTCATGATCAAGATTATAGAATTCTTGGGCTGGCTCCATCACAGGGTCAGGGATTAGGACCGATGATGAACTTCTTTGATCATCTATTAGCATATAAACTTGTATTTGCCATTCGGAAACGGTCTATGACTAAGCACTGCAAAACTTTTATAACTCCAAGCCCAGGAAGTCTAAGGCAGTTGAAGAAAACAAAATTACTTTGGAGTTCAAGAAAAATTAAAGTAACACTAAACTGCCATACTTCCTAAAATTTTCAAGGGAGCTATTTTTTTTAAGCAGTTAATTAAAATATATGTACTACGAGAAGATGCTTATTTTCTTATACAAGATGTAACCACTGGGGGAGACTGAGGGAGAAGTACATGGCCTTGTCTGTACTATCTTTGCAACTTCCTATGAACCTTCAGTTATTTCAAAATAAAAAGACTGTATAAAAAAGGACCTGCAAAAAAGAAAACTACTGCTAGAAATAACAACCTGAAAAAAAATCTCAAAAACATCATCGGTGAAACCCTTGTTTCACCACGTGTTAAACAGAAGGAGCCAGACACAAAGGACATGTATTATACTATCTCGTTTACAAAAAACCTCTGGAAGATGACACAGGATAGCAGGAGAAAGCAACTGTAGCTGCCTTGGCGGGAGTGGGGGTTGACCGTAAGGCGGCACAGAGGAACTTGTTCAAGTGAGTCAGTCTAAAACAGGACCGTGGCCAGTTACACAGCCAAACTTACTAAAACTACATACCTAAAATCGGTGAGTGTTATGATGGTGAAATTTATACCTCCATAGAGCCGCGGGAAAAATTGTTAATGGTACAATCTAGGTGAAGAGTATATGGGTGTGAACATAAAATTCCTTTCACTTTGCTGTTTGAAAATCATAATAAAATGTCTAGAAAATTAAAGTTTTTGTGAACAACAGAATTAGAAATAAAAAAAGCGTACTTCCCCTGACAGCTCACAGTTCAAGAAAGATTTTAGTAAAAAGGTAAGTCAATGGCACCCATGCACTGGTGATCCCATATCCCACATACCCCGTGGTGAAGCCCTGTTCCACCATGTGTTGTGAATAAAGGAGCCCTGGAATTCCAATCCCTGATCAAAGCTGTCTGTCTGGATACTGTTCCAAAAATCCATAAGCTGCTGCTGAGGGAGGCTGGTTATTTATTCAGGCACAGAATGGAAACCCAAGCACAAACATCTTACATGTTTTAATTACCACATGGAGAAAATTCAGGTTTCAGCTTTCTGTAAATTACAGTGTTAGCAACATCAAAGTAACCAAGAAACAAAAAACCTCACTCAGAGTTTTTACATAAGAATCACAGATTTTCCAAAAAAGAAAAAATTCTGAGGTTCTTTAAAAGGAAAAAAAAATTCAAATGTGGTTTTGTACATCATCTTCCACACACCCTTAATTAGAATCAAATCCACCGATACCTAAGCATCTTATTAGACAATCAGCAGGAAATATTACATTTAAGCAGAAAAACAGAAATGTTGAAATCATAAAGAGTACTACAACTGTGGACAGAGAACATCTTTTGCATTTATAGATCTAAGATTCCTATTTTTATGACTAATACTAAATTTATTCCAATATTCCAATTTCAAAGAGCAAAGTAGTTTCAACAGGTCTTAAGGGACGCCTGGGGGGCTCAGGGGTTGAGCGCCTGCCTGCGGCTCAGGCCATGACCCCGGCGTCCTGGGATCAAGTCCCACATCAGGCTCCTCTCAGGAAGCCTGCTTCTCCCTCTGCCCCTGTCTCTGCCTCTCTCTCTGTGTCTCTCAGGAATAAATAAATAAAATATTTTTTTAAAAAAGTCTTAAAAAAAAGATGCTTTAAGTCTCCACAGATACAGTATCCAAAGAGAAGCAGATATTGTCATATAACACTCATTTTAATTTTTTTAAATAGGTAGATTGTATGCCAAAAAGTGCACACCCTCTTACAAACTTTCACGGGTAGTATGTATATTTAGGCATGTGTATTAGAAGCTATGAGTATGTAAATAAAAATTTATTATTATTAGAATTAAAAATAATTAAAAATTAAATGGATTAAGCTGGGTGTTTCTGTTATTTCTCTAATTTTCTACTCTACTTAATAGAAGAAGAGGACCTGCACTTACCATGTACCCCACTGTACCCGCAAGAGGGACATAAGTGATGAATGGAAACAGACAGCATATATGTTAGATCCTCTGTCCCTTTTAATGGGACTGAGGGAGGGAACAAGTGTTTTATCTACTATGGACCATCCAGCCTTACGACAATTACAATGATTAGTAAACTGTAAGAGCTCTGTAAGTGCTACCAAATGAACCATAAGGTATGGATGAGGGTGTCCTAGCAGCACTACAATCAGACAGGTGAGAGAACTAAGTCAGCAACTTACCTTCGTGCTGGCCACGCCGATCTCGGGCCCGGCATTAATGTGAACCCCACAGTCTGTCTCCCTGGATATGGAGCTGCCCACCGTGTTTGTGATCCCCACAGTTAAGGCTCCTCTCTCCTTGCAGTACCGAAGACCCATCAGGGTGTCTGCGGTCTCACCTATGAAAGCAGGAAGATAAAAGTCACAGAGCAGTCAGCAGACACGGTTTCTTAGATGCAAAAACAAAAAAACTGACTACACTTTCGACAGTATCATTTGTTTAAGTAAAATTTAAAACATGCCCTTGGGGCACCTGTGGCTCAGTGGGTTGAGCATCCGACTCTTGATTTTGGCTCAGGTCATAATCTCAGGGTCATGAGATCAAAGCCCCACATCGGGTTCCACATTCAGTGTGGAGTCTGCTTCAGATTCTCTCTCTCTCTCTCTCTCACACACCCACACCCCCCCACACCCAGCTCACACAATGCTCTCTAAAATAAATCTTAAAAAAAAAAACCAACCAAAAATATGCACTTCAAAATAATAAATTTGTAGAACTTTTAATAGTAAGTTCCTATTTTTTAGGATCTCCTTTCTTGGTCTTTGAAAATTCACCCCTTTAAGTGTAAAATGTGTTAATTCTCTAATTCATAAGGAATTATGTAATATCAAAATAAATCTGTGTTTGTCAAATCATCTGCAATACCTGTATATCTTTAAATGTCAATTTTGCCAAGATGTGCTGTAATTAGGGATCCCTGGGTGGCTCAGCAGTTTGGCGCCTGCCTTTGGCCCAGGACATGATCCTAGAGTCCCTGGATCGAGTCCTGCGTCGGGCTCCCTGTATGGAGCCTGCTTCTCCCTCTGCCTGTGTCTCTGCCCCCCGCCCCCTCTCTCTATCATGAATAAATAAATAAAATCTTTTTAAAAAGTCTTTAAAAAAAAAAAGACATGCTGTAATTATTAGAATGACGTTCCTTTCCTTCAAGTCTTTAAAATTAGCATACCTGACTGACTAATGAAAAAGCAAACATCATCTCGAAAAACTGGTGTGTTTCTATCCAGGAAATCACTGGCAAGCTCCACCATAACAGGCAACTCAGTCAGCTCTTCGAGAACTTGACGTGTCTGCAGAGAAAAAGATAACTTCCTCATATAAGCTTCAAATACTCTCTCGCTGGACTTCCTTGGATTCAATGTACACTTTTCATTTTTTTCTGATTATGAAAATGATACACATGCATTGTTAGAAAATACAAACAATACTGATTAAAGCATAAAAAAATCATCAAAATCCCACCAGTCGGGACACAAGTGCTGTTAATATTTTACTACAAGTCTCTTTAGACAGTTATCAATCCATGTATTCTTAAAAGCAAATATACCCGCACATATAAAATGTTTTGAGAAGCAGAAAAAGCACTGTTCTGAGTTAGCTTGTATATTCTCTCTAATTTCCCAATTCCTAATCTTGAAATGACAATTCATATAATACCAAGTCACTGAGAGATTTCAAATGAGATAAAACACAGATACATAAGCACCTCTTAAACACTTCAGAAATACTATGTATTCATAAATGGTACTGTTTCCAAAAAAATCAATACATTTTAGAAATCCTACTTAAGCTCACTATTTCCAAACTGTGTAGTATGCAGACCAGGTAGAGGGCAATATGCTTCTATGCAAACAGCACCTTAGCACTTCTTTCACTAATTTCCATTTTAATTCAATTTCTTCTACTCTAAACATCAGAAAATGTAAAATAATAGAAAACTTTTAGGTAGCAAAAATTTTAGGCCCTACAGGTGCATATATTTAGTTATGATGGAGGAGACCACCTGCTTCTGCAGGAAAAGGGCCCCAGCCATCTCTTGCCCTGTCACTGCATTCTTCCTTCCAGCAGTGAGGAACTGAACAGGTTTCCTTACTTCACATCCCTTTAACTTTCTTGTCCACAAAAGTAAACTAAACTGTTTTGTTCTGTAACTTTGGTTTGACACCTTAATCTTTTCCACTAATGTATTTTACTAATTATACATAAATAGGTTACTGATCCTAACATGCTGAACATTTCCCTTCAAATAGAGATCAAATTTTACCTTCTCATTTATAATATAAATGTTACACTAGAATTAAATTCTTCAGAGAAAGATACAGATAGCAACTTACCAGATATTTTTAAATATACCCCAAAAAACTAAACTCAAGGTTTATCTGTGCTAATAAATGTCTTTTTCTTTCAGTGGAAGCAACTCTTAATGAATACACAGAATGACATATTTGCATCATAAGGGACTAATATACTGTTATAAATTCTATTGTAGGTCACTGTAAAAACCCAGACACAATTAACGTTTTGAAAAGAAAACTACACTTAGGATGATTTTGATGGTTATTGTTCAGGATACATATTAAACAACAAAGCATTTATGCATATGTGTCATTCATTTTGAGCCCCACCCAAAAAACCCACAAAACTAGATAGAACAGAATTAAGGACACTATTTTGCATGATAAACCACAAAGGAACTTCGAACGTTTGTTAATTATAGTAATCTCAGCAGCTACCAAAAAACAAAACAAAGCAAACCTTACATTTTCTCAAATTTCATAATTAGAGAATTCTAACATAGCATATAATTTCTGCCCTAAAATTCAGGTTTAGCATCAGAAGAAACATTTAATCAAATCTTTTACTTCTGAATAGAGGGCTCATTCATTAACAACAGACTAAGCCGCAGGGAACTGGCCAATCCCTTCATTTATATTTTTTTAATTCATCCTTTCTTTTCCTATGTTCAAAACAAGCTCTTTCTTAGAGCTCTCCCCTTCAAAACTACCTAGACTTTACTATTCATTTTAAAGATTTTATTTATTTGAGAGAGAGAGAGAGAGAGAGCATGAGCAGGGTGAAGGGCAGAGGGAGAAGCAGACCCTGCTGAGCAAGGAGCCTAAGGCAAGGACGTGGGGCTCAATCCCGTGACCCTAGGATCATGACCTGAGCCGAAGGCAGACACTCAGCCCACTGAGCCACCAGGCACCACAGACTTTCTTTAAACCAGGTGATTTGGGGAGTGGGTGGGTTAGAGAACTGAGATGCAAGGGCTGGACAACCAGCCAGTTTCCATCACTAGTTACATGACTGGCTCCCACAAGTACAGATCATAGATATTTTTGCCCCAGCAAATAAAAAATTACTATGTCATAAACTTTGGAATCAATTCTAGAAGTAGAAACCCAATGTGTAAGGGTCTTCTGTACTCGTGGGAGTTGACACCAACAGCACTATAAATGTCTTTATAAGAAAACCTCATGTGGATCTGATTTATTGGCCTAAAAGAACATTATATTCTGCACTTCTGCACTGACAACCAACACACATCTTTGATACAGAATTTCAGCTTCCCAAAAATTAACTCGAAATGGATTAAAGATTTATTTATTTTATTTTATTTTATTTTATTTTATTTTAGATTAAAGATTTAAATGTAAGGCCTAAGACCACAGACTTCCCAGAAAAAAACACAGGAACTAAGTTCCCTGACATGGGTCTTGGTGATGACTTCTTATCTATGACACCTAAAGTACAAGGAACAAAGTAAAAAATAAAAAAGTGGGAGTACATCAAACTACAGCAAAAGAAACCATCAGCAAAGTGAAAAGTCACACTATAGAATGGGAAAAAAAATATTTGCAAACCATGTTATCTAATAAGGGACTAATATCCAAAATATACAACTGAAAAAAAAAAAAAACTAATCCAACTAATGGGCAAAAGACCTGAATATACATTTCCCCAAAGAAGATATACAAATGGCCAACAGGTACACGAAAAGATGCTCAAAATCACTAGTCCTTAGGGTAATGCACTTTAAAACCACAATGAGGGCAGCCCGGGTGACTCAGTGGTTTGGTGCTGCCTTCAGCCCAGGGCCTGATCCTGGAGACCCAGGATGGAGTCCCGCGTCGGGCTCCCACGTGGAGCCTGCTTCTCCCTCTGCCTGTGTTTCTGCCTCTCTCTGTGTCTCTCATGAATAAAAAAAATAAATAATCTTTTAAAAATAAATAAATAAAACCACAAGGAGACAGCTCCTCATGTCTGTAGGCATAGCCATCATCAAAAAGATAAGAAATAACAAACACTGTGTTGATGTGGAGAAAAGGGAACCCTGAACACTGTGGGTGGGAATGTGAATTGGTGCAGCCACCACGGAAAACACTATGGAAGATCCTGAAAAGATTAAAAATAGAGTTACCATATGATCCAGCAGTTCTGATTATGTGGATATCAAAGGTAAAGAAGACACTAACTTGAAAAACCATCTGCACCCTCAGGTTCTCAGCAACATTCTTCTCAAAAGCCAAGACAAAGAAACAAACTAGGGTCCATCAATTGCTGAATGGATAAAGTTGTGGTGTGTATGTACATGTGTACACACACACACACACACACACACACACACACACTCTGAGGAATATTATTCAGCTGTGAAAAATGAGGAAATCCAACCATTTGGGACAACATGGATGGATCTTGAGGGCATTACGCTAAGTGAAACAAGTATCAGAGACAAAAATAAATACTGTATGATTCACCTATATGTGGAATCTTTTATGTAAAACAAAAACTAATAGAAAAAGGGATCAGACTGGTGGTAACTAGAATTTGGGGCTGGGGGAGGGGGGATTGGAGGAAGGAGGTAGGATACACAGGAGAGTCCAGACAGTAAATCCTAAGAATTCTCATCACAGAGAAAAATGTCTTTCCTTTACTCTTGTTTTTATTGTACCTCTATGAGAAGATGGATGCTAACCGAACCTACCATGGCCATCACTTCACGACAGATCTACGTCGAACCACCAAGCTATACGTCTTCAACTTACACAATGATGTATGTCTATTATTTCTCAAAAAAATTGTAAAAAATTTAAATAATTTTTTTAAATTAGCTTTCAAGAGAATAAAGAACAAAGTCTGACGAGAAGCAGACTTCCTTCGTTTGCAGAAATGTGCCTACCCAGTAAAATCCTGTTGAGGTTCACACATGTTACCAGCCATCTGTCTGAGCCGAGGAAATGATAAGCAAAACCTAAGGACTGCTCCTATGGAAGTCTCGCTGTAAGAAGGAAGCACTTTGCCTGGGACGCCTGGGTGGCTGAAGGGTTGAGCGTCTGCCTTCCCCTCAAGCCGTGACCCTGGGGCCCCGGGATCAAGTCCCGCATCGGGCTCCCTGCAGGGAGCCTGCTTCTCCCTCTGCCCCTCTCTCTGGGTCTATCATGAATAAATAAATAAATCTTTAAAGAAAAAGAAAAGAAAGAAACACTTTGCCTTCCATGAAGTCACTGCAGGTCGTCTACCTGTATATCCAAGTCTTCCATTGATAAATAATTCCAAGCAGCTCTTAACATTTCTGCCCCCAACTGTCCTGATTTTTGTCTTAATAACATGAAAAGGTAACACGGTGTTTTAACAAAGCAGAGCTTCACGTGGTATGTTACAGACGCCTTCTAATATCCAACATCAGTTAAAATCTTAAGCAGCCACTTACTGCTACACCAGCGTGATAACTTGTCCCACAGGCAATAAGAATGAGACGCCGACACCTCTGGATCTCCTTAATGTGATCCTTCAAGCCGCCCAAATTCACTGAAATGAAATTTTGAATATAATTATTTAGGAAAGAACCACATGAAACAGGCAGCCACTTCTCGTGAGTGTCCGCCGCCAATGGGGGAAACACCACCACCGTTTAAATTTATATTCCTCTCAGGAAGTGCAGTTGTCTCTGGTTTTGAAAACCAAGCAGGTCACGAGTGGGCTGCCCGCCCCAGCCCTGCGGTGCCCGCCCAGCCCGCGGGCCCACACACAGGGGCAGCCACGAGCTCAGCAGGGGCCGGGGCGGGACTGCCCGCCGGGGGTGGGGGTACAGGACGTGGGCAGGTTTGTCAACTCCGGGAAGGAGGCACCAGCACCGGCGCGTTTCCTCCCGCCTGCGGAGACCGAAGCTCCCAGGAGTCTCCCCAGGCGGCCGAAGCGCTCTGAGCAGTGCTGCCCGGCCCCTTCCCGCCCTCCCTGGGGGTGCGACCTTGCACCCCACACCCCGCAGCTGAGGGCAGCGCCCACCGCCTGCCTCCCACCTCCCCGCCGGCCCCACAGCCACAGCCCGCCCACACCTTTCAGCCTCCAGAGATTTCTCCGTGTGCTTCGAAGGCCACCTGCTGGAGAAACACCCCAACACGAGCCCGGGTCTCTGCTCGTGACAAATTCTCACTCAACATCCACCCAATTTTTCAACCCCTATTTCCCGCATACCCAGGGCAGGCCACCTGGGCGCCTCGCTCTCCTTGCTCCCCTCACTCCCCTCACCCTCCCACACCTCGTCCCCGAGTCCGTCTTCTTGGCCGCACATGCACACCCCCGGGTGGCACCTCTTGTGTCTGACACCCTGTGGGCTGTCTCCCCACCGTGGGGCTGTCCACACCTGTGGTCTGTCCACACCCTGTGATCTGTCCACACCCCATGGTCTGTCCACACCGCATGGGCTGTCCACACCCCGTGATCTGTCCACACCCCCGTGGGCTGTCCACACCCGTGGTCTGTCCACACCCCGTGGGCTGTCTATTGTGCCCCTGCTCTCTATCTCCCCACACTTTGTTCTACCTTCACAGGTTATGATATAAACCAAGACATAGGTTTTGCTTTTTATTTTTCTGAGTAATCTTGTGTCCTCCTTTTTACATTTCAATACTAAGAGGACATGTCGTACTTCTCTATTTTTAAAAAACCAGCCAAGTAAACGATCTAAGGAAAGCACCACCACGAGCTCCAGCAGAGTCACAGACGGCCTGGGTGAGAGCCAGGCGCCCAGCTCCCCCCGCGGCCCAGGTCCCCCCGCGGCCCGGCGCTGAGCGCTCCGGGCGGACGTCGAGCAGTACTCGAGGGGTCTCCCACCGCGCAACGCGGAGCAGTGTGGACGGACTCGGTGTGAAAGCCGTGAGACCGTCAGAGACGCCGGTACTTCGGTCGGTGACCAAGAATGACGCGAAGGAAGCGGTGAGACGAGCTGGGCGACGCTACCTCCCTGGAAACTGGCAGGCCCCCGAGGCCGGGAGGCGATGCTCCGAGCAGCAGGGCCCGAGCTCGGCTCGTGAAGCGCAGGGACGTGGGCTCCGCAAGACGCTCACGCCGACGGGGCGCGATGTCCTTACCTTTACAATGAAGAGCGAACAGCTCTCCTGCTTGTAGGACAACTTTACGAGGCGCATAATGCTGACAAAAGGGCTTTCTGGGCATTTACCTCCCTGTCTTCCCTTGCGTATCTCCTCTTTTCCTGCTCTTTCTTCCATAAACACCGGAGGAGGCCCTGCTGCTGGTGGCCTGGGTCCTCCGCTCCCCGCAGCAGCAGGTGCCGCTGCCATCTCCCCGCCTCCCCCCTCCCGCGGTCGCCCCAGGCCCGGCCTCCCACGGGGGCTCTCGGGGTGCGCTCAGGCCTGCTAACGGCTCCGCATGGTCTACACGGGGCCCCGCGCAGCATGCCAAGGTCCACGGACACCCGGACACCCGGCAGCGCCCCATCTCCCCTCAGACCCCGCCCCTCACTCCTCTCCACGTGCAGCGTGGCGAACTAGATGGCACACCGCCCCGACAGCGGGCACACTGCCACCACCCCGACAGCGGGCACAGCACCACCACCCCGAGAGTGGGCACACTGCCCCGACAGCAGGCACACCACCCCGACAGCTCGCTGCCGGTCCTCCCTCCCCCCGCGGCTCCCACATCCTCCTCACCCTCCATCCTCACGGCTCACCCGCCTCCGAAGGCCCTGCCCACAGATTTCTTCTCTCCTCCAAACTCAACACTGAACTTTAAATATTTCAACATTAAACTGTTTCTGGTGTCATTTATCGTATTTTACCTTTCTTTAAACAAGTCTACATTTACCCCTCTTACAGATTTATAAGAACCTCAGAGAGGCCGTATCAGAACAACTCTGTGCAGCATGCGGTTCTGAACAGGTGCTCAACCTGGACTTCAGCTTCAATAAATCTCTCCCGCTGAGAAAGTCTGATGCTGCTCAGAAAAGAGGAAGATACAGAGACAGCATTTACTCGGAGAAATCATTATTAACAGGACTTAATACTGTACGGACGACACGCAGACTCAGGGAGAGGTTTTTGCACACCAGCAACTATTTCTCAAAAACTAATTAATGCTGAGAAGCTTCACCCAAAGTTTGTTAAACTGTTTATTTAGCCGGTCACGATGAATACGCGGTGTTCCAAAAATGTGATCTCCCAATAAACAGTTCACAGACATCTGAGGACCTCAGAAAGTCATTCTCAAACTCCTCTCTGCAAGGTACACAAACTCCCGTGACACCCGGTCCAGGCAGTTTCCGGAAACAAGACCAGAGCAGCACTCAGCCCATCTTAAACAGGAAGGTGAAGCACACGCCCGGAGAGCCTGTGGGCAAGTTCACACCTTCCCTCACTTAGAAGCTGAGAGAATCTAGGCTGAGCAGGCACACGGGAGCTTCCCCCGAGAGGCCCAGGCCTCGCTCCTCCTGGAACTGGTGGTGCCACAGCCGCCCCTACCACGGAGCAAGGGCCCAGCAGCGGCGTTCTGAAGGGAAAGGAGGTTAAGAGTTCTTCACGGCACACCAGAGGACCTCCCCCACCCCCGGAAAATCCTGCTAACACTCCTGTGACAGTTTTCAAATGCAACTTTCTAGTCATTCTTTACATTTTGTATGACCTTATTGAGATATGTCACATACCATAAATTCACCCTCTTAAAGTGTACAATCAGTGGTCTTTAGGATATTCGGAGCGGTGCAACTGTCACCACTATCCAATTTTAGGGCATTTCAGCACCCATCCCAAATCCCATACCCATTAGAATCCCTCCCCACCCCCGGCCCTGCAGCCTCTGGCAACCATTCGTTCTTACCTCCTCCCTTTGATTGAGGTAAAATATCCATAGCGTAAATTTAACGTTGAACAATCCTTAAGCGTGCAGTTCAGTGGCATTACGCATTCACACTTGTGCAGCCATCACCACCATCCATCCCCAGAACTTCCTCATCTTCCCAAACAGAAGCCCTCTCCCCACCCCCACTCACCATCACCCTCACTGTCCTAGCTACGCCCCCAAGAGCAGAACAACACCGGCGCCCCTGGAGGCTGCAGCCACAGCCTCCTCCACAGCTGGGAGGGACAATGACCCTTCAGACTGCCACTGCCACCCCCACAGGACCCCCTGAAGTCATCATTCGTGTTTGATTACCAGTGTAGTCATCAAAGTTGACTCTTCCTCTCATCGTGTTCACAACGGACTCAGGCTGCTCAAAAATTTCCTTCTGCATAAATGAGCTGAAGTTGCCTAAAGTAACAGAAATTATATCATTAAGAAAAGAAATTTGTACACAACCAAAAGTCTACCTCCTGGAACAGAACCTTAGTAAATGAAACAAGGGCTCATGCGATGAAGCACAATATTCACATGGGACGTTTTACCCAATGTGAAGAAAAATAATCAAGTAAGGAGGAAAATTCGCTTTATTAATAACTTTATACCTAAAATATGCAGTTAGAGCAAAACAAAGGAAGGGGACAAACTTAAGATTTAAAGTCAGATCTAGGTTCAAACCATAGTTCTATCCTCCAGCACCTAAATGGCTCTGGAGAAATTCCTTTATCTGTAAGCACAGTGACTACTTCACGGCGCTGTAGTGTGGATATAGGGCACACCCGACATATAGCAGCTACGTAATAAATGGTGGCTTCCAGCCCACCTCGACCCCGTGAGAAAGGAGAATAAAAATTAAGACCATAATAATCTTAACAACAGCAAACATGATGTAGGGCTCACTAAGGGTGTTCTGTTCTGAAGGCTCTACATAAATCAGCTCTCTTCAACCTTAATGAGGCAGGTCCTATTATCCCCATTTTACATATGAGAAAACTGAAGCACAGAAAGTAAGAGAGGAATAAGCCTTATAAAGTATCTTAAAAATATCAAGTGCTACTTAAACAATCTCTCTTTTTTTTTTAAAGATTTTATTTATTTATTCATAATAGACATAGAGAGGCAGAGACACAGGCAGAGGGAGAAGCAGGCTCCATGCAGGGAGCCCAACGTGGGACTCGACCCCGGGACTCCAGCAGCACGCCCTGGGCTGAAGGCAGGCGCTAAACCGCTGAGCCACCCAGGGGTCCCCTTTCAATGTTAGAAACAGAACCATGAATTAGTCTAAAGAACAACTACTTGAAGATCAGCAGGTAATTTTTCCAAAGAGTCATCCCGTTTTTGGGGTCACCCGCTCACCAATCGTGTGCAAGATTTCAGGCAGCACTGTGTCATCAGATCCCTACACGACAGGAAGGAGAAGGTCTCCTTTCTATCAAGAACACCAAGATAACATGACAAAAGCTTTCACCCTTCATGATCTGCTGGAGTTCCATCTGGAGGGTTTGCACAGCTCGTCCAGGGTGATCTCCTGCGGTTCGTTTAATTCGATGGATAGAAAGACGGCCATCCACCACCGCTGCAACATCATCGTCTTCAAGAAAGATGACACGATTGGTATGTTCTATGACAGCACTATAAAATGTTCAAGGAGATACTATGATCAGTAACCAAGAATGATCATTAAAAATAAAACTGTCATCAGGACACACAGACCAAATTTAAACACAAACTTAGGGCGCCTGGGTGACTCAGTCAGTTGAGCACTGGCTCAGGTCATGATCTCAGGGTCATGGAATCAAGCCCCACGATGAGCTCCATGCTCAGCAGGGAGTCTGCTTGAGATTCGCTCTCTCTCCCTCTGCCCCCCTCCTCTAAAATAAATAGATAAGTCTTTTAAAAAATAAAATAAAATATATAGTATCTCTGATAACTTTCTGGTTACCAAAGCCCCTTCCTACAAGGCAGTGGGAGGTTACTTTGGACAATGAATAACTGTGCTCTGTGCAGCAGAGCAAATTAGACTAGATCAAATCAGAAAGCATGGCTATTTCTTCCTCATTCTATCGCCAAACCCTTCAATTTTAACTCCTAAATATTTCTCAAAGCTTCTCTCTATGTCTGCCACCACAGACCAGTTCTAGCTACCATTAGCTCTTGGCTGAACTACTGCAGCAAACTGTTAACTTATCCAACCACTTTCCCTCCCTCCAACCATGCATTTTCCATTTCCGCCAAAATGAGTATCAAAAGGCAACTCAAACCAAGATTTCTCTTTCACCCACCCAGGAAGCTTGATGGCTTCCCTTTGGCTTTTTAGAAAACAACAAAACATCTTACCATGACCCCACCTCCTTCTCTAGCTTCATCTCCCACCAAACTTCCTCTCTTCATTCCAGCCACACTCATACCAAGAAAATGAACGTTCTCCCCTCTAACTCTTCACCTAATTAACTCCTAACAACTTACCAAGGGAGAGATAAGTGTCACTCCCTTAAGGAAATTTACCCATAGGAGGGTAAGTCACCCTGTCACAGGCACTCTGTAGCTCTCGTTGCAACTGGAATTCTAGACTTGTGTCTTCTTTATTAAGAAAAAGCTCCTCAGGGACAAGTGTGTGTGTGTTTGTGCGTGTGTGTATACACACAGAAGTGTATTTTATTATTATATACATATTAAATTTTTTTTGGCGTAATCTCCACCCCCAACATGGGGGTCAAACTCACAACCCTAAGATCAAGAGTCACAGGCTCCCCTGACTGAGCCAGCCAGGCCCCGCCTCGGACAAGTATATTTTTATTTTTACTGATCATTGTCTCTTAAGCCTAGCACATAGCTTTGCTCAGAATGTGCAATATGTATGAATGAATGAATGACAAAAGGATGGAAAGCTTCTGCAATTTCCAGTTTATTAAAATCATAACTATAAATTCTGTAACAAACCTACTTAATGACAACAATGATGCATCCTAGCACTGACTACATTCCTGCAAAAATTAGGAAACAGTGAAGCTTATTCTCTCACTGAGATGATGCATTCCCGGATGTCCTAAACTACGACACTTTCTCATCTTCAGATCCCCTCACTTTCAGGCACAACGAATGACTCGAATACCTGTTGGCAACCTGAGTGATCCACTTTATCATCATCACTGTTAGTATTCCATTTATAAATGCATCTAAGCATCTCAGGGTATTTTTCACTCAAAATGTCCTGGTCTAGTACTATTTCTTTTACAAAAGTGATTATGCTGTAAATTACTTCTGAATTAAAAAGGCAAGTGTCCTTATTAGACTAAAACTAGAATGGTTTAGCAACCATACTGGAATTGGTGGGACGCTAAGCCATTCTATTCTCCAATCTAAAAATCTCTCCTCCCTATATAAAACCTGGGTAACGCTCCAGAAAGAGGAGGAAAAATAATACAAGAGCTCAGAGTAAATATGCAGGCACAAGTCTCAAGGACTGTTCTCTTCTTGGTAAATTGATCTAATGCTTTGAATTGGGAGAAAAAGTATTTTTAGAACCCCATCTCCAAAAAGACACATTTTCCCTAACTGATATATTCTCACACATAGCATGCCTAGCTACTACAAACTGCCTTTTGGTTTTCTCTGAATCAGTGAAGGAAGCTCACCTTGCATCAGAAGCAAAGTAATACTCCACTGCCTTTTCTTCAACAGGGAAAAGGCAAGTTGTGCTGTCCACACGAGAGAGATTGCAGCTTCCTTTCTTGTCCTTGCCTAGAGCACAGAGTTAACACAAATCAACAAACATGTAGAAAACCACAGCCAATATATAAATATACATATTTTTCTACAAAATCAACAAAAAATCATAGCAACGCAAAATAATTCCAGCAACTTTAAGAAGCTAGGTAGATCACCTTATTTCCATGCAATAAGCCAACAAGAACAAGAGACAAAAGGTGTAGAGTGAAACAGCAACTATCAAAGAGAGCGTGGCAGTAATAGTGCTGCATTACACATTTTTAAAATATGATTATTTATTTTCCTGGTAAAAGGCAAATAATTCACTAATTGCACTAACTTTTTTTAAATCAAAAGTATGTAAACCTAATCTTCACTTAACTTCATACAAAACATGATAGAATACATACATCTGTGTAACTAAACTTATAAAAATTACATTAAAAATTCAAAACTGTACAATGAATAAAATGGCATATTTTATGCCATTTTAATTATTAAAATGAATAATACTGGCATAATTATTAATTAATAATACTGGCATATTAACTTTTATTATCTCATAACAAAACTTTGCCCTAGATTTTATAATAGTAAGTCAGTACAACAAATCAAGGTGTAGCCTACACTAATTCTGATTACAAAACAAAACAAAGACACTTAAAACTCCCTGACCATGGCATACCATATGTGGCAACTGCTACTAAAGACTGGAAATAAACACCTAGGACCTCTTCTTTCTTAAAATTGAGTTTTCTTACATTTCTTTTAAGTCAGGATAAAAGTCCTTCTGCAATAATAATATCCTTTTAATAATAATATCCTTTAATCCCTTTTAATCCTTTAGAACTTGAGAATTTTGACATCTCTACTTAATTTGTCAAGTCACGAATGAAGTATTTTTTTCCTTTTTGCTCATTCACAACAAAAGTCAAAACTGAAAAGCAAAATGAAGTTTGGCAAATTAGACAAATAGAGAGGGGAAAACCATTAATTGAAGATTATTTAAATGTCAGAGACAAAAGCAGCACCTTTTTCTGAGATTAGGACAGAGTAGACCTTATAACTATGGACACAAGACCAGAGGATATTATAAATACACTTGTAAAAACTCATATTGTATCTAGCCTCTAAAATGCATGTCTGTAAAGTACATCCAAAGTTCTCCATAATCTGTGCTAATTTGATGTGTTTTAGACATGAAAATAGAACAGTTCTTTCCATCCAAGTTCAACAGCAAAAAAAGATACCACACTTTAAAAAACATGTATAAGATGACATCCCAGAAAAAGTAACACTACAGAAAGATTAAACGTGTTGATAAGTGTTTGCCAAGGCCTGGGACTGGGAACAAGGGCTGGCTACAAAGCTATCGCTGCAGGGAACTTTTAGGGGGATGGAATCGTCCTGTACTCTGATTGTGGTGGTTATACAACGGTGTGCATTTGACAAAACTCATGAAACTGCACATCAGAAACAGTGAATTTTACTGATGTAAAAAAAGTGAATTAAAAAATATGTAGAAGGATAGCCTAGCATCTATATTTTCAAAACAAATACAACCAGCCTTAGGTTATAAAATGTCCTCACATTGTCAAGTTTCACTAAATTCCTCCTCCAAATGTTTATTCTTCAAGTAACACGGTATATTTAATTATAACATTTAAAAGGATTTAAGCTACCACTGCCTATTTAAATGAAAAGAACTTACCACCTGATACCTATACCATGACTCTTAAACTCTATAAAAAGTTCTGCCATACGTTGATTATCTCATCTGATTTGAGTGGAACACAATTATTACCACCCCTTTTTATTCTGTAAGTAGTTAGACCTGGAGAAAATAGCAAAATCTAAAAGCCAGTCCCATATTCTCCTCTTTACACAGCCTCGTCAATAAGAGGCTCAACTTTTCCAACTAAACTTTGTGGAGTCACACATTATCTACCTATTAGGAGCTAGAGAAATAAAGGTTACCAAAACATAATTCACAATCTTAAAAAGATGTCTCATGTTAAAGTTTTTCTTCAAACTTCTTAAGACCTTAGGCCAATGTTCTTCCTTTTTTTTTTTTTTTTTTTTTTTGCCCTAAAAGCAGTCTAAGAAACTGTACGAGGTAACATAAAGGTAATGTATACATGAGCAGGATTATAAACAGAAATCTGGGACTCTGGCTCCAAAATTCTGTACTCTCACTGGTAAACTAATTTTTCTTCAGAAAAGGGAAGGATAGGCAGGAGGAAGTAAGAAGAAAAGCTAACACTTCATGACTGAAGGCTACTTAAGGAACTCTGCTTTAGATAAAGGAGCTAAAGCAGCCACTATCTAAAAATGAACAGGTTTAGTCTTTCGCTAATTTTTTTTTCCAAGAAACCAAGAATTGTACCTTAATAATATGGGTTTCAAGTTCCTGAATTTACCACTCCCTATCTTTCACTTGGGAAGCTTTTAATAATAAGTAAATGAGAAGGGCATGCCATTTGTTTTCTGTCTAATTATATCAATAAAATGATCAAGAGTTTGACTGAAAGTCCTATAAAGAAAAATAAGTTTCAAACAATAAAAAAAAAAGACTCCAATTTGAAACAAGGCAATCAGAATGTTGAATGTAAATCTAAAAGTAAAATGTCATGCATAAAATAAAGACCATTTAAACATAATCTAGTAAAAAGTTAGGATAAATTAAATAACTATCAGTGAATTCAATCTACAATAGCCTAGCACGCAGTGTTCTGTTCCCAATCTAAGCATCTTATTTATAATATATCTTACATTATTCTTATTTAAGACAAAAAAACTTCATGATTTCAAATCTCAGAAATTTCAAAGAAACAAATTAAAAGCAGTTTTCTAAATGCCAAAAGCAGACAGACAAAATATACTCTGCAAATTAGAAAAATGTCAAAATATGTTTCCCCATAAAAAAGCATTTTTAGAGGCCCAGCACATTCACTCACTCCAAGAACAAAGAATTAGTAAAGAATGAACAAAAGAGGATAAGACTCCTCCCCATCCATGCAGAGTGCATTTCCCACCTCTTTCTCCCTGTGATCCCCACCGTGTGAATTTTGATCCAATCTGAGTCCTAGCTAAGGATATACAACAGAAAAAAATTCTCCTCGTCAAAGAATCACAACAACAAATCCTTTTCATGTCTAGACAGAACTATATACACATATGTGTGGATCTGACCAAAGAGGCATTTATTTCAATTTAATGAACACAATTCTTTAAATCTACTGCACTTTATACAGTTTCCTCATAGCAGGACGTAGGGACAGTTTTTACCTGTTCTGTAGAGTATCGGAATGTGATCAGTAGAGAGTTTATGTTCACTTCGTACACCAATCAAAAGAGGGCTGCCTCGTCTGTTAGCACAAAATTAGACAGAATTAAGCCATTTTCATAAATAATGCACTGACAGGCATTTTAATGAGCCAACACTCTTCAAATAATGTTCAAATTCTCCCTCTAAGCTTGGCTTCAGGTATAACAGAAGAATAACATAAAGAGAATTTTTAAAAAATACTCAGTGACGAGATCCCCAGGTGGCTCAGCGGTTTAGCGCCGCCTTCAGCCCAGGGCGTGATCCTGGAGTCCCGGGATCGAGTCCCACATCGGGCTCCCTGCATGGAGCCTGCTTCTCCCTCTGCCTGTGTCTCTGTCTCTCTCTTTCTCTGTGTCTCTCATGAATAAATAAATAAAATCTTAAAAAAAAAAAAAAACCTCAGTGACAGAGGGCAGCAGACTATAGACCCCGAGGTCAGGTTTGTCTATTTTTGTACACAAGAGTTTTACTGGAACACGGCCATGCTCTTTCTTTTACCTATTCTCTGTGGCTGCTTTCGCAGTACAACAGCAGAACTGTGGTGCTACGGAGGCCATATGGCCCAGAAAGGCTAAAATATTTACTCTCTCACCCTTCACAGAAAAGTTTGCCAATGCCTGTTCTAAAAACAGTGTATCTGAAATGTTTCTCCTTTTTAAAATGTCAAATGGAACCTTTCATTCCACTGCACACAGAATTCTGATACATGAATGTTTAGCACTTTCTCCTTAGTCATCTTGCCTTCGTATTAAAAATAGCTCTCTCCTGCCAAAGATTAGGGCTTCTCACTGTTCTAAAAATGACGTCATGATCTTAGCAAAAGCACCGATGGTACAATTATCTAGGAATCTGTTTAAAATATATACTTCCCAAAAATATGGAGCAAGTTAATGTTTGGGGCCTAAAACTAGAGAATACTCAATATCCAAATTCACAAAGTAAGCATGGTGTCCCAGTACAAAGGCCGGTTATAAATGCCAAAATATACTTGCTTTATTAAAGGATTCTGTTAAATGGAAGAGTGGTGAGAAATGGACAAGGAGGAACATGTGAAAAAAAAAATATATTCACATGGTGTCTCTGGGAAAGGGCAAGTCTTTACAGTTAAGGGTAATCACTGTGTACAAACAACACATTTATAATTCAAATGTTTCAAAATACACATAATTATTAGTCATTATTAAATTGGTATGTACCTTGTGCCAACTGCTTGGCCAGGAAAATGAACACTTTTAAATACCAGTGCAAAAGCACCTTCCTACAGAGGGAAAAAAAAATGCATTAGCAATATTTATTATGATCAATTATTAAATGTGAAATGCCTAAAACACATTGGCTTCAGCATAGAAATTCTTTGTTCACGTGCTGCTCTTTTGCAAGTTATAAATAAGCCTAAAATTTAGATAGACACTTATTCCTGAGCTTTGGTGTATAGCACTTTTGTATACATTCCTCAATAGATACATCCTATCTCTCATACTGTGCATTAGAATGCAAGGAGGAGAGAATTAGAAAAGATTCCAAACCCAATATCCAAAATCCATTCTCTGGTCCAGTGATTTTACACCACTGCTAACTTCCATGCTTGTTGACCTTGACACTGAAGATAAAAATATACACAACCACCACTGTTAACAGGTGTACCATTAACATCTCCTCAACACAACCTCCTTAGGGACTGGGCCTAAGGAAATCAAGAGTGAGTACAAGAGGAACAGGAGGTAGGAAAGGTAGGGGACCACCACAGAACACAAACTGGGTTTCATAATGAGTAGAAAAAAGGAAAAGGCTGGAAAGGCACAGTACTCTGCCCTAACGGGAAGGAACAGGCCTCTATTTTCTCCATCTTTCTGACTCCTCCTTTTGCTGCAGACATCTAAGATTTGGGTAGAAGGAGGAGGTGAGGGTTAGACCTTCAGAAAGAGGTGAAGGGCTTTTAAATAAGAAAGCTAGAGTTATGAATGGGGATGAGGGCAGAAATCCCCATGCATCTGGACTTCTGTGGATCTTGGTATCTTTGAACTTTAGCCAGGGCAACTGGGATGGGATCAGAAAGAATGACATTTTTTTTTCTTGGGCTGGGAAATACTTTTTTACAGTGTAACAAGGCCAAGGAAAAGTCCCCATAAGGAAAAATAAAGAGTTGCCTATATTGGCTCAGAGACATGCAGACATTATCCCAGAACAGAGTGTGCATTTTACTGAAGCGATCCTCATGCTAACTGACCAACTGAAGAGAATACGTGAGTAGGAAGCAAGAAAGTGATGATGAACCTCTGTGTCTCATGGGTGCGTTTGTGTGTGGTATGTATGGGTTTGTGTGTGTGCATGCCCATAGTTTTTGGACAACTCTTTGATTTCAGATTTTTTTTAATTCCCGTGACACTAAGCTAGAGTGAAAGAAGAATTTTAAGTGTAGGGAAGGGAGGGGGTCAACTAGTCAGAGTCTCTCAAAATTATTCAAGCCGAGTATTTTTATACACACACACACACACACACACACACACGAAATAAAAGCCAAAAATATTTAAATCAGCATAGTTTCTGCTTATCTTAATTCTAAGAGTTTATGATTAACATCAGCAATAATTATCTTTAAAGGTGTGGTTTATTACCAATTGCTGGATAACTCTCTCCACCAAGGTAGTGAAGCTGATATCTTGACTTTCCCGATTGTCATACATGTACTTAACAAGCTTGGCAATTGTCTCTGTGTCTGTTTCAGATTCAAAGTCATAGCCTTTGCTTTCCTGAAATTAGAAAGGGAAACAAATTGACACATTTAATGAAATAGTCATCCAAGTCTTTCCTACAGAATTTTTTTTCCTCAAAAATTTCACTAACCAATTTCTAATATTTTTTCAATACTATACCCCTTACCCATTGTTCAAAATTAAAGTCACCATCTAAATAAGTGAGCCCAAAATAGTGAGGTTATTTTGTGTAACTAAATATATACTTTTAATTATATAAGTCTATATATATGTCACATACGAATTAAGGACATTTCAAATAATTAAAGTATAATAAGCAACAGTCACCAAATAAGAATTCCATAATGAATAGGATTCTTTATTGGATAATGAAATTGCACCATCCATTACAACAGTCATTAGCTGTATGTGGCTATTTAAATTTACACTGATTAGGGGGCATGGGGCTGGCTCAGTCAGTAGAGCATGCAGCTCTTGTTCTCAGGGTTCTAAGTCTGAGCCCCACCTTAGCTACAGAAATTACTTAAAAATAAAATCTTTAAAAATTTTTTTAATTTAAAAAATAAAATTTAAACTGATTAAAATGAAATAAAATTTCAAATTTTATAATATATTACATTATATATTACCCTTGTAATCATCTCAAGAATTACTTGATCATACATAGATGGTGCTGTACAAGCTGCCTAACTGCTTTCATTAGAAATTTCTCAAAGCCTGGTGTCTTTGTCAATCACTTACCAAAAACTTTTTCAAGTCTTTGTAGTTGGTGATAATTCCATTGTGAATAACAATAAACTCTGAAAGAAATAAAAAATACTGATGACAAAAATTATAGGTCTGGTAAACACTATAAATAGCCAATAAGAACGGTCAGATTTTTCTCAAGTCAAAAAATTTGTCACATGCTGTAATTCTAAGAGTAATCAAGTACCTTTTACTTTTCATTATTGGATTATCCTCAGGTAGATCAATAGACTCATTTATGTGGTTTAGTGGAAGCACACAGCACTGGGGAAGTGGATAGAGGGGAAATATAATAAACTGGGATCTAGAGGTTAACAATTTCATTTGTAGCTGAACTACTAACTCAACGTCATCATATGAAAGGGACAAATTTCCTGACCCTGTTTCTTTCTTCATTTGCAAAACAAGAAGGCTGAATTATAGAACTATTGTTCTCACTTCTTCATTCATTCATTTTTACGCATGAAAAATTTCTTCCTAATTTTATTTTATTTTATTTATTTATTTTTATTTATGATAGTCACACACACAGAGAGAGAGAGAGGCAGAGACACAGGCAGAGGGATAAGCAGGCTCCATGCACCAGGAGCCCGACGTGGGATTCGATCCCGGGTCTCCAGGATCGCGTCCTCGGCCAAAGGCAGGCGCCAAACCGCTGCGCCACCCAGGGATCCCTCTTCCTAATTTTAAAGTGAAAGACTTTCAAACTAAAACAATGATCTGATTTACACTGAGTTTAGGAACTGAAGTTAAAGAATAAGAAAAATCAGTTATTCAGATCTACAGTGAAATTTACTTAGGTGAGGTCCAGACAATTCTTTAAATGTCAGATAAATTGGGCAACCCGGGTGGGGTTTAGCGCTGCCTTCAGCCCAGGGCCTGATCTTGGAGACCGAGGATTGAGTCCCACGTCGGGCTCCCTGCACAGAGCCTGCTTCTCCCTCTGCCTGTGTCTCTGCCCGCCCCCCCCCCGCCCCCGCCTGTGTCTCTGCCCCTCCCTCTCTCTCTCTCTCTCTCTTATGAATAAATAAATAAAATCTTTACCAAAAAAAAAAAAAAAAGTCAGATAAATTAATGTGAAAACAGTATTCCAAGATCAAATATATGTGTAGTGGGATAATTTTCATCTTTTTTGATTAAATAACTTTGAAAAATATAAATACAGTATTTTAGATCCATGAGTTTATAATAATAATAAAAGAAACTCATTCATCTTAGAACATTAGAACCACTTCAGTTTTGAAAAACGGTAAATAAAGTGGGAAAAAAAACCACATTTATCCCGTCTTTTCTATATATAATCTATAAGTCTAAGTAACTAAGTAGTTAGATACGGAGATGTTTCTCTTTATAGAAGTATGTCAGATAAGTAAAAAAGGAATGAGAACATATGACTATCACCACTTTACAAAACCCTAAGGAAATAATGCTGGCAATGATCATCTATGGCCACTAATAATACAAAAAGAAAAATGCCCAAACATCATGTATCTCCAGATGTAAATCAATACCACAACAATTTATAGCAAATAGAAGGGACAGAAAAACATGCTATTTTTTTTTTTTAAAGATTTTCTTTATTCATGAGAGACACAGAGAGAGAGGCAGAGACCCAGGCAGAGGGAGAAGCAGGCTCCATGCGGGGAGCCCGACACAGGACTCGATCCTGGGTCCCCAGGGTCATGCCCTGGGCCTAAGGCAGTGCTAAACTACTGAGCCACCCAGGCTGCCCGAGAAACATGTTAAATAACACCATGGGATGCATACAATTAGCAGGATCTAGACTGTAGGAAACTGTACAGGACAAACACCACAATAATCTGGGAAAGAAAAGGAGAGAAAGGGAAAGCTTCCAAAATATTCTGGGTGGAGGGGTATAAAGAAATAGAACTGTGTACTAACCAATGTTAAAGCTGGGTGACAGACACATCTAGTTCTACAGCCTCTCTAGTTGTGAATATGTTTAAAACTTTCCAGATTAAAAAAAAAAAATTAAATAACAGTAACATAAGAGCCTTCATTCTTCTCCCATTAATGATCTTCAATCATTCCAAAGCATGTAGAATGTGTCCATACCGTTATTTTTATCAGAGCGCTGGGGATGGCTATTGACAGGATTGGGTTCTCCATGTGTCGCCCAACGGGTATGAGCTATTCCAAGGTGTACGTCAAATTCTATATCCAAATCCATATCTTGTTGCTCTGAAGAACATAATAAGAAAAATTCCAATGTTAAACCATGCTGTAGAGATAATACTAGAAGCTATATTTAAATATAATTATTACAGTGCTACTCACCTGGAATACACAATTATTGAAACTGAGTATCAGCCATATTCAAAATAGTAATTAAAAGATTCAGGAGTTAATGCAGCTCAAATATTTAGGGCAAATGAATCCAGTAACAACCAGGGAAATAAAGCAAATGTGACAAAATACTAACAACTGGTAAAATAGATGAAGTATATGGGTGGTTAATGCACTATTCTTTCTTCGGAAGGCTTGAAGATTTTCAGGCTGAAGGGTTGTGGACAAAAAAAAAGTTAACTTGATTTTTTTTTAATCTATATTTAATCTTTGCCTTGAAAAAAATCAGCACCACTTTACCCATGTAAAAATAAATTCATTTTCTCAATGCCACAGCCTTATGACTGCAATTTCTTTGGTCTCTACTGAATGTAAACATATCTCACAACATAAACTGCAATTATAGAGAGGTTCTAAAATCAAGCAATAGCCCTTGAGAATAGACCAGGAAAGTACGGGGTTATAGACAGATGTTCCTTTATCCTGAAAAGCAGTTATTACAATTCCTTTTCCCTATAACCTAGCTCTTCTTTTTCCAAAGGAATAATAAAAAAAATAAAAAATAAATTTTAAAAAGGCAGTTCTAGTATTTACTAGTAATGCCCCCCTTCTGATTTCCTAAATATAACATTCATTTGGCGAAGAAACAGATAACCAAGCCTATGAGAATTAGGTCTAAATTAAGAAGAGCAAACTGCTCAGAAGTCTCAAAGAGGAAAGTCCATGCATTTTATTTTAGCACAGTCTTCGTGGTTTTATACTGGCTAATCAGACGTCATTCTAACACCCAAATCTGATCAAGAAACACCACTTAAAATCCTTGAACAGATTTCCATTGCTTAAAAAGTGGTTTGCATCCCTAACTCCCCATATGAATCATCTTAAAACCTGGTCACGGGGGATTTATAAAAAGATCCTCAAATTCTCATACAGAGCCAGAGAGCCAATTTCTCACAAGATAAAGCCATTTCTCACAGTGCCTTTCTATGGGTACAAGGCCCTCCACCATCTGGCTCCACTGCCTTGACGTTCTCATTCTCCCCACCTCTCCCATTTCCCCTCAAAGCCCTCAACACAGCTTTTGCAAATAACAGCAGCCACCATTCACTGAGAACTTACCTGGTGCTAGGGACTTAAGACTCCTCATGGCTCTATCCCTATCAGTAATGAGCCAAGCAACCAACCACTAAACCACTTCAGCAGAATCCTAACTGGTCTCCCCATGTCCAATTGTCCTCCTGTACATTCCAGTCTTTGCACACCAACCAACGAGATTCCATTAAATCAGATCAATCCCCTAATGCAAAATCTTCCAACGGCTTCACATGGCTCATGAAGTAAAATCCATCTTATTTAAGATCCTACATGTCCCAGTCCTGAGTCAGGTCTCCAGCTCATCTGCCGCCACTTTCCCCCTCACTCTGCTCTAGCCCCACTGACTTCCAGCTATAAGCCGGCCAAGCACACGTAGAGTCCTTGCACTTGGGAGTTCCCTCTGCCTAGAATTTCCCCTTTGGACAGTAACGCGTTCTCTGCTTACATGTCACCTCTATATACCTTTGTGTCATAGCACTGACCACACGCCCTAACGTTATCTATTTGTTTGCTGTCTGGCCCTCTCAGTAGACCGTAAGCTCCATCAGGCTAAGGAGTTTGCCTGTCTTGTTCTCTGTTGTGTCACCGGGGCCTGGCACAGTGGCTGGAATAAAATAAGTATTCAAGAAATATTCATTTTGTTATTGAATCTTTAATAATGCTCTGGTAGGTACTATTGTCCCCATTTTATAGATAAGGAAACTGAGGCTCTAAGAGGTCAGAGAACCTACCCTAGGTCATAACAAATAGGAAGCAGAGATAGGATGTGAACCTAAGGCTGGCTGACTCCAGAGCTGGAGATTAAAACCACAGGGCATACTCTGCTGTACTATTATAACTTTAATGACATGTGCAACCTGACTCCTACCCGTATTTAAGTTCTACAAAAGCAGCAGCTTGCCTTACTACCTTAGAATCCCAAGCACTAAGCTAAGTAGGACAGTTATTCAAATTTTTATTGGATGACTCAATCAACCAACAGATAAAGTCATCAATGTATTCTTTCCTGGCTTAACCGTGTCCTGAATAATTAAGGTGACCTGATAAATAACCTCCAGAAAAGTAAAGGATTACTGGTTATCACTACTGAACAGGCTGATGCAAGCAATGAAAACACCTGACTACTCTGTTAGGCTAATTATAATTAAGGCAGCCGCACCCCCACCCCGGCCACGCTGGAAGCAAAACTGAGGAAAGTAGCAAGAGTCTACAAATTGAGTCCAATTCAAACTCACAGTAATTATCATACCTATTTCACTGCTGCCAAAAGAACATTATCTAAAGTCTAATAAGGGGGATCCCTGGGTGGCGCAGCGGTTTGGCGCCTGCCTTTGGCCCAGGGCGCGATCCTGGAGACCCAGGATCGAATCCCACATCGGGCTCCCGGTGCATGGAGCCTGCTTCTCCCTCTGCCTGTGTCTCTCTGCCTCTCTCTCTCTCTCTCTCTCTCTGTGACTATCATAAAAAAAAAAAAGTCTAATAAGGAAAAAAAATCACTGCTCTGACAATAAGCATATTTCTCATGACAAATCTCTCGTTTTATAAATTAATCATGACTCCCAACCTTTGACATTCCTCCCTAAAGCCCTCTGTTGAACCTTAACTTTAGTTAACCTCCACCCTCAGTCTTCTCCTCTCCCCACCCACAAACTGCCAAACAGCACTCAAGAGAGGTAGAAAACTCTGTAAATTGAGTTCATGTCAAGTTTAGGGTAATCACCAAATCTCTTCTCCTGTTGCCACACACGAACATGTCCCCACGTTCCTTACTCATGAATCCAAAAGCTCACTCAATTCTCCAACAGCTCATGACATCCCTTCTATTCTCCGTAAGCCTTGATCCAACCTGTACCTCAATATCCCGTTTACTGAGCTTTTCCCCTTCACCTCATAACTTCTTTACTTCGCTTTTCTTTTACCTTTGACTCCTTTACAGGCTAACTTCCTACCCGTGCCTGGACCCTTCTGAGCTGTGATCCCTCAGTAATTTCCTTACTTGCATCTTCTGTCTTTTCCCCACGTGCACCCCTACATGCCCTCTGTGTGCCTTTTCTCAGATAGCAACCTTCTTCTAAAAAAAAAAAAAAAAAAAAAACTAATTCAGGGAACGCCTGGGAGGCTCAGCGGTGAGGTGTCTGCCTTTAGCTCACGGCGTGACCCCGAGGTCCTGGGATTGAGTCCCACATCGGGCTCCCTGCATGGAGCCTGCTTCTCCCTCTGCCTGGGTCTCTGCCTCTCTCTCTCTGTCTCTCTCATAAATAAATAAATGAATGAATGAATGAATGAATGAATGAATACCTATTTAAATTTGTTGGCAATAATAAAACACTCAGATACCTACATCCAGAGATAACAAATGTTAACATATAGCCATTCGTGCTTTAAATCTTATGATACAAAATATTTCTAAATCTTAAATTTTTGTTAGAAATAGCAGCCTTGGGCAGCCCAGGTGGCTCAGCGGTTTAGCGCCGCCTGCAGCCCAGGGTGTGATGCTGGAGACCCAGGATCGAGTCCCACATCAGGCTCCCTGCATGGAGCCTGCTTCTTCCTCTGCCTGGGTCTCTGCCCCTCTCTTTCTCTGTGTCTCTCATGAATAAATAAATAAAAATCTTTAAAAAAAAAAAAAAAGGAAAAGAAATAGCAGCCTTCCTTTGCTTCTAAACTTTACTGCCCCTACTGCCGACACCTACTCCTTGGTGTCAGTACTCCCATGTTTCAATCTCATCTGCAAAATGAGGATAATCATTTTACCTACTTCGTGGGTCGTACTAAGGACTAGTGAGGCACTTAGTAGAGTGCCTGGGGCACAGGAAGCAACAATACGTGTCAGCTATTGCTATCAAAGTCAGAAGTTACCAAGAACCAATCTAATGGCCTTTTCTGAGATGACTTCTTTCTGTCTCAACAGGTCAAACACTGAAACTTGCTAGGAGTAATAAAGCGAACGCCACAAACATCCAAATCCCCACACCGGGAGCAAACAAATGTGAACATCTAACCACTTGTGCTTCAGATTTTTTTTTAAGATGTAAAATGTAGGAGCACCTGGTGGCTCAGTCGGTTAAGCATCTGCCTTCGGCTCAGGTCATGATCTCAGGGTCCTGGGATCAAGCCCCACATCAGGCTCCCTGCTCTGCTCAGTGGAGAGTCTGCTTCTCCCTCTCTCTTTGCCCTCCCCCTGCTCACTAGCTCGCTCTCTCCCTCACAAATAAATAAAGTCTTTTAAAAAATAAAACTAAAATGTAAGAAACGCAGTTAATACCTCTTTTATGACCTGGGCTCAACCCATTCCACCCCAGGGATTCTCAACTTGATGGGGAGCTTTCTTACCTAGGTCTTTAAACATCTAATACACTAACATGTATCCACAAATGACAGCACTCTATTGTGTTTTTTAAGTGGTAGTATACTTTACCCGTCCCTCTGCAGGTTGCTTTCTTCACTCAACACTAGGTTCTCACAACTCAACCAGGTTCCCATATGCAGAACCAGATCCAGTACAGTCCTTTCGAAAGCTACACACAATCACGCACTACGTCACATACAACTTAGTCTCCCATTCTCTTACTGGTCATTTCTACATTTTGTTGCAATGAATCTTGTTGTCAGGTCTCCTTGTCCATAGAGTTTCTTCCAAGTATGTGCCCAACTATGGAAGCGCTTGGTCACAGGGTATAGGCACCTCCCATTTAGACACTGCCAGCTTCCTCTTCCAAATGATGGAGCAGTTACTAATTTGCCAGCGACATCTACAAATTCCCATGTCTCCACTCCCTTCCTGACTTTCCTTCAGGAGGCGGCATGTTTCAATATGTTGATACACAACGACAACGATGGTGATTCCGGTTATAGTTTGCCTTCCAGCCTCCCACATTCATCTACCAATAATGCACAGTAAAAGGACTACCCACCATTCCACCAAATTTGACTTCCTTATTCTTATCTTTGCCCACACCGTCCTCCTCAGAAGGTCCTCCCTTCTCACCTTCACTGCCCAAACAGAATTAGCAGCCATTCCTTATTTATACTGAATCTCCCCATGGTGTCCAACCCCAAGCTCTCCCCTGAGTCCTCAAGCAATTTGTCTGTTCTCTCCTATGGAACCTACTATAACCAGCCTGGTATACAGGACGTGGTACACACAGCAGACCGAGCGTGTACACTACAGTTGCTGAAGTACAGTTCTGTGGGTGCCTGCCTCATCCCGAAGCTAATCTTACCCACAATATGTGCAAAATAAGTATTGATCTAGTATGTTCAGCAAGGACTACAAAGCTAAATGCTTGGCTTATGTGAAAAAAAAGTGATTAAGTCCATCATTTTCCTCTGTTACCTGAACTCCTTTACCATGATTACTATGGCATCCATTCAAACAGGTACATAAAAAATCTACTGTTTCCTGGGGTTGGTGGAAGGTTTGTTTTTTTGTTTTGTTTTGTTTTGTTTTTTAAAGAGAGAGACAGTGGTGGAAGGGCAGAGGGGGAGAGAGAATCTTTTTTTGCGGGGGGTGGGGGAATCTTAAGCAGGCTCCACGTGCAGCGCGGAGCCTGATGTGGGGGCTCGATCTCATGACCTGAGCTGACAGGAAGAGTCGGACATTTAACCAACTGAGCCACCCAGGCAGGAGCTCTGTGGGAAATTTTTTTCAAATGTTTTTTCAGTCAACTTACTTTGAAGTTTTTGTTTTGTTTTTAAGTTTCCTGTGACAAATTAAAATGTAAGAGCAGAGTGTGATGAAACTAAATACTGACAAGTACCCTCTTTAATGAAACATGTATCTCTGGACAACTACTGTATGTGAGCAAAGTAAGAAAATCCTGAAGGAAAAACATGACACTTACCTGATTACATCAGATCTACTGAAAAGGGCAATATCTAGACTGACCATACATCCGAGGGAGGCATTTGCTCCAAAGTGAAGACAACCAAGTGAAGACACCAGAAGGAGGGCACCACTAAAAATACCTTCACGTCCTATGAAAGGTCCTTCCTCAGAAATGGTGGCCATGCTTCATTCTAGGACACTGAGCTTGCTGTGAACACTATGTACCTAACCAATTTCCTCCCCTAGTTAATAGGGTCATTTCTGAAGCTAAGGTACATTGTACACTAGTAGAGACAATTAACAAAACTACCTTTCTTCCTTCCTTTGAACTTTAAATATCACTATATTAAAATGGACGTCAAACTATGGGAAGAAAGGGGATTTGGTAGGGAAGGGAGAAGGAAGCGAAGGGAGGGGAGGGGGACAAAACCCAAATTAAGTACATTACTGTGAACTTCTTCATCCAGTGCCTTAACTTTCCCTTTCTTCTTAATGAGCTGGATCTTGCAGGCATTGGCTTCCCAGTCCTTGTCATTGCCTCCATCAACTCCCACACCTGAATCAACGAGGGGCAGAAAAGCAAGATTCAGACACTTAGATTATCATCGTGAGGCAGATTTTTAATTAAAAACTATTCTTTCATCTAATTAATTCATATGTTCATCAATTCACAGTCGCTGAAAATTATTATATGTCAAGAACCACAACAGCTGCTGGAAACAAAAATGCAAACTACTCAATTTTCTGCCCTCAAATTTCTAATAGTCTATTCAGAAGATAGGGACAAAATAATGACAATACAGTGTGGGTTTGGGTTATAATAAAAGGGCTACAGATTAAAAAAAAAAAAACAAGAATACCACAGGTTGGGTGGCCATTGGAGCACAATGGAGAGAGGCAGCAGATGGGTGCCCACCTCAGAAGGGGAGGGAGGAAGGAACATGAGGGAACACGTTTCTCAAAACTCTACTTTAGTGCCTCAAGAGTTTGAAAAACTCACCTGAAGGTACTAGAAAAGCACTGAGTAGTTTCAAATCAAGAAAGCACAGGGTAAAAATGTTTAGGAAACTCTCTTTGAGAAACAGAGTACGGACGGAAGGGGAGAAACGGAAGAGGGGAGCAGCTGTCAGCAGCTCTAGCTACAGCAAACCAAAAATGGGGACGCCCCGAACCAAACGGGGGTGATGAGGACAGAGATCAGCGCTACTGAGGGTAGAAGTGTCGGATGCAAGGTGAGAAAGCAGCCTGAACCCGGGGTACCTCCTAGGCTCGCAGGACTTGCTGAAATGGTGGCTGGATAAAGAAACGCAGAAAGAAGAGAGTGGCGAGTGTATTCAGTTCAATTCTGGACACGCAAAGTTTACGGTGTCGTGGTTTCTCCAGAGAGAAACTTGTAAGGGGCAGTTGGAAACCCAGGCCTGCGGCCTGAGAAATCTGCGTGGGTCCTGATCACCGACACGGAGGAGGGGAATGATGTCAGAGTTCACCCATGAAGATACAAAGAGAGAAAAACGGGCCTAGGAAACAATCTTGAAAGACGTTAATATTTAAGCAAGAGGTGGCAGAAAAGGAGCCCTCAACGCAGACAGAAAAGGAACCAGCATGTTAGAAGGACAATACGTGTTGTCAGAGAAGCGAAGGGAGGAGGGAATTTTAAGAACCACAGAGTAGGCCAAATTAAACTGCACGTTTAGCTTTTTACTTTCAATACCACCCCCCCTCCAAAAAAAAGAACCACAGAGTTGAGGAGTTCACTTTCTGTTAAGCGAAGAGAGTCACAGAGAACAGACGCCGTGACCTGCGGACACGGACACGGGCCTGCCACCGCCCTCCTCAGGAAGCTCTGCTGGCACAGTGGCCGCCGCCGGCGCCCGGGGACTTGGGGTTCAGGGCGGCTCCCTGCCCTGCCCAGCCGGCCTGCCACACCCCACACGGCCCGAGCTCCTGCTCCCTCTGCGGAGCCCACGGGGACTCCTGTGCCGGGGGGACTCCCCACGCGGGGCCGGGGCGAGGCCCCCACGCAGCGGGGAAGAAGCTGCCCGGAGCGCAATTGGCAAAAAGTGATTCTTAGTCGCTTCGTCATTTATTGAAGGTAGACGACCTCGGCTAAGTATATATGCCAAGAGCAGGGAATCCTTAGAGAAAAAGAAATTACAGGAAAGAAAAAAGATAATTTATAAAGTAAGGCCTCTAAGAACTGTGTTCCACCACGAAAATGCCCCAGGTGATTTCTGTTTTTACAGTAACATTCTTAACAAAGGCAGATATCCATAAGAAATAATATAAATGGTAATACTGTTGAAATTATACGAATAAGCCCTTTAAACATGGTAAGAGACAAAAATTCTTGTTTTTAGGTTTACTCAAAACAGAATAGACATTAATAAAGAATCTAGTTAACTAAAACAAAAAAGCCTATTTAGACTCAAGAATCATGCAAAAACTATATTTTTTTTATAGAAAGGGAAATACCAGCAGAATCATATCCTCTGTACTCCAGTCTCTGAAGGCCTTTGATTAGGGTCTCCAAGATTTCTCGTCTTGTGCGAGGAACATGGTAGTTTAAGTATGCAAATATACCTGCAAATGAACAAATATTTAATAAAAAATATGACTAACAGCAAAATTACATAATTATGACAAAATCCTCATTTGCATAGTTATGTCTAAGATGTGAAGAAATATGAAACTAGAGTCATCTTTAAAAAAGAAAAAAATTCTCACTTCAAATTACTTAAAGGTGGTGAAACTTTTACAAAGAGGTGTCTCTCCTTAGTATAAAAGACTGAAGAAAACATGTCAAAATAAATGTTTAGCTTTTGCAAAGAAACTTATAAGGCTGGTCACATATCTTCCATCGTTGCCACTCTGTCAAGTAAACTTTAATTTAAAAAAATTAATTAACAAATTTGTGACTTATGTCCTAGGTATTGAGCACTGTTTAAAGGAAAACATTTTCCAAAATAAGTATTGTAAGCAACACATGGGCCCTAAAAAATGAGACAAATGGAATAATCTTTCTTATTTCCAATGATTATGGGATCAATAACATGTAAGAATAAACATAAATAAGTATCAATGATGTGAAAAATACAACGTAAATAACTTAATAATAGGGGAAAATGGGACTAAAATATTTATATAATCATCTCAAGGGAAAATAACATTTGTTGAGTGAATCATTTGCTCACCAGACATGACCAAAAGATAAACAACTATCATGATACATGTTAACACCTACTGAGAATTCATAAAAAAGAAGCCCTTCTTTGGAAGAGCAAAACTAGAATAAAATGACTCGTACAACGTGAACTGAGCCAGAAAAGCAAATAGGCAGTAGAACAAAAGTAAGGAAATCCACATTTTAAAAACAGCAGCATGAAAGTGACCTGAAGTCTTCCATAACCATGCTTCGCTAGGGTGGATATAGCTTAAATGTATAAATACTGAAGATCAAAATATAAGGAAATGAAAGCTCAAGTCACTTTTTTTTTTTAAGATTTTATTTATTTATTTATTCATGAGAGACACAGAGAGAGAGAGAGGCAGAGACACAGGCAGGGGCAGAAGCAGGCTGCATGCAGGGAGCCTGACGGGGGACTCGATCCCGGGTCTCCAGGATCACAACCCAGGCCAAAGGCAGCGCTAAACTACTGAGCCACCCAGGCTGCCCTCAAGTCACTTTTTTATGAAAGAACTTTCCTCTTCCCAACTGTGTGACACTATGATGCCACTGATTCATACAGATATTAATTCTGTGGGGTATAAGAACTAGTGTCCATTTCCATCTGAAGCAATACCTTTATTTCTGTAAAGAGCTCGTCCTATTAAAGCATTTCAGCATACAAAAATACGACGGTGGGGCACCTGGGTGGCTCAGTTAAGTGTCTGCCTTCGCCTCAGGTCACAGGCTCCCCGCTCAGTGGATAGCATGCTTCTCCCTCTCCCTCTCCCCCTAACACCCACTCACTCTCTCTCTCTCTGTCTTTCTCCCATAAATAAATAACATCTTTTAAAAAATACCACAATGTTACTATCCAACAAAAAGCTATCGTGTGTATGACCATCAGGATCGATACAGAGCAATTTTTCAAATGAACTATCATGCTCTTCCGCCCCACTACACTACAATCCAAAACAAAATTAACAACTTTCCCCAAAAAAGGCAGTATGAGACCAAACGTTACAGAAATCCTGTATTTCATTCATATTTTTACTTTTTTAAAGATTTTATTTATTTGAAGGAGAGAGTGAGTGAGTGGAGGGAGGTACTGTGGGAGATGATCTTCAAGCAGACTCCCCACTGAGAGTGCAGCCCCACGCAGGGCTTGATGCCACGACCCATGAGATAACAACCTGAGCCAAAACCAAGCTGGTTGCCCAACCAACTGAGCCACCCAGACACCCGCATTCATAATTTTTTTTTAAAAAAACCTTACATTTGTATAGATTTTTTAAGTTCTCACGTGTTATACAGGCACGATGGCTGTTATTGCTGTTCCTTTATAAAGTATCTGTAAGATGAAGTGAACTAACAACCCAACTAGCGAGTTCTTCTACACTTTCCCTCATCACAGGTCACTGGCATTTGATTAAGATTAAATGCACTAAGAAAACTACCAGTTCCACGTAAGTATTTTTATTATACCATTAAAAGACAATACACAGAATATGAATCTTCTCCCAAAATAATACAGTAATAAAAATGAGCTAAAGAACACTGATTCTCAACTAGCCTACTTTCTACCATTGTGATGAGCATCAGCTAAATAATCCGCTAAAAGAGGATACGGTCTAGCTCATCTAAAAGTTATTAACCAGTGAAACACATTACACTGTTAGGAGCCATTTGCCATGTCTAGGAAATCTTAAAGAGAAAATCCATAGTTGCCAAATCCTAATAATGCAGCACAAATCAGAAAATTCACTGAGTCATCCCTCTCTTTATTTTTTTTTTTTAAATTTTTATTTATTTATGTATGATAGACACAGAGAGAAAGAGGCAGAGACACAGGCAGAGGGAGAAGCAGGCTCCATGCACCGGGAGCCCGATGTGGGACTCGATCCCCGGTCTCCAGGATCGCGCCCTGGGCCAAAGGCAGGCGCTAAACCGCTGCGCCACCCAGGGATCCCCATCCCTCTCTTTAAAAAAAAAAAAAATGTAACTTTAATGGTAAAAGTAATACACATAGAAAATTAAAGATTAAATGCCAATTTAAAAAAAATCAATTTAAATGCAGATATAAAACCAACTGTCCTTAATACAAATTATAGATTCAACACATTTTTTAAAAGATGATACAATATTCAATTCACGATTTTCAATACATGGAACTCAATACTGTTCTAACTTCAATGTCTTTGGTTTACATGGGCTCAGCATGCGGATCTTGAGATCATTTCGGGTATCATTTCATGGTGAAAGAGTATCTTCTAAGCTAATGCCCCACTTCAAACAAACTTCTAAAATGGTAACTATTTGAGAAATGAATAAAAATTCACACTAAACATCTGTTAACTCACAATCACTGAAGAAATCCTGTGCATCTTCTCACTCAGGTACGCCCCCAAAGCTTTCCACCACACCACCCTGCCTCAGCTTCCCGCTCTGCAAAATGAACGGGTTTCACGGAGAGGCGGCAGGATAGGTTTCAGAGCGAGTACCCCGTTAACGGGCAGCGGCTGCAGAGAACTCGGAGAAGAACCATACAGTGGCCCCACTTCCTAAATGGGAAGGCGAGCCATGGCTGCCCAGCAGCACGTGTTACCAGGAAGTGGGCAATGACAGCACAAAGGCTACGTATGTCCTACCTGACACGTGAGGACATCTACAGCCCTCACCAGCTAGATGTTCTCTAATTTCCGAAGTTTCTTCTGATTGCTTTAGAGCTATTCCAGATGGATCTGACGTTTTCTTAGACGTCAGATTAAGACTGCACAGACTGCACCTACAGACTGCACCTCTCTCCTGGGCCTCATTTCTTTGTTATAACATTTTCATGATTGTCTCCTGTGTACATTCTATCTACCAAATTAAAATTGGAAACCTGGTGAAAAACCTTGCTATTTTCAGGGTACAGTTGCCCCCTGAATGCAGGTTTGAATCGCACAGATCCACTCATGTGTGGATTTTCTCCAATAAATACAGTACAGTGCCGTAAACATATTTTCTCTTCTCTATGATTTTCCTAATAACATTTTCTTTTCTCTACTTTATTCTAAGAATACTGTATGTGATACAAAGCATGTAACATACAAAACATGTGAAGTTTATGTCATTGGTGAGCTTTCCAGTAAACAGCTGGCTATTAGGAGTTAAGTTTTCGGGGAGTCCAAAGTTATACTGGGACTTTCCATTGAAGACGGGTGAGGGCAGGCACTCCAAACCCCATATTGTTTAACAGTCAATTGTATCGTTAAGAATAAAAGCAAAGTAACAAAATTTGAGGACATTTTTCTGCAAAAATGATTATTATACCTAAGAAGAAAATGCTAACACCACCCACCTAATACAATGTTCATATTTAAAATTTCCCTGGGGCAGCTGGTGGCTCCACTTAACCAGGTCATGATCCCAGGGTCCTTAGGATCGAGTCCCCATTGGGCTCCCTGCTGGATGGGGGGCTTGGCCTGCTTTTCCCTCGGCCCCTCCACCACCCCCATGCTTGCTCTCTCTTGCTGTCTCTCTCTCAAATAATAAAACCTTCTAAAATAATAAGATAAAATTTCCCTATTATAAAAAAAATCTTTGGGATCCCTGGGTGGCGCAGCGGTTTAGCGCCTGCCTTTGGCCCAGGGCGCGATCCTGGAGACCCGGGATCGAATGCCACATCGGGCTCCTGGTGCATGGAGCCTGCTTCTCCCTCTGCCTATGTCTCTATCTCTCTCTCTCTCTCTCTCTGTGTGTGTGTGTGTGTGTGACTATCATAAATAAAAAATTTAAAAAAATTTAAAAAAAAATTAAAAAAATCTTTTACAGCTGATTGTTCATTCTAGGATGTAATAAAGGATCATACCTCCCATTTGATCATTATATCACAAAAGTCTCTTCGAATCCAGAATGATCTCTCCCCTACTGCCCTGTTTTTCCTAAGACACCTACTTATTGACAAGCTGTGGCCAATTTTCTTGTTGAATGTCTCACCCTCTGGCTGTGTCTGTTTCCACACAGTATAGTGTACTGATTCTTCTATTCCTTCTATTTCCTAGAGACTGGAGACCTAAAGACTTGATTGAGTTAGGTTAATATTGGAGGCAGGACACCTGGTTGGGGGCTCAGGGGTTGAGCATCTGCCTCTGGCTCAGGGCATGACCCCAGGGTCCTGGGATCGAGTCCTGCATCAGGCTCCCTGCGTGGAGCCTGCTTCTCCCTCTGCCTGTGTCTCTGCCTGTGTGTGTGTGTGTGTGTGTCTCATGAATAAATAAAATCACCAAAAAAAAATTGGAAGAATTATACACAATGTATGTATGTATTTTATATCATCCATAGGTCCCTTATTAGTGTTAAGACTGTCAATGGTAAATACAATTAGATCATCTAGCCCATCATATTCTGAAAGCATCTTCTGAATACTTTTCAG